TATCTAAAGATATACAACATAGCAAACATATTTTTATTGTCTTATGCTTTTGTGGTGGGAACATTTAATTCTTGTAATTGTTAACAGATAAGGAATAATTCTTTGAAAAGGATATGTTTTATCTAGTCATAAGGGAAAAAAGGGTGTTGCAAAAGAGTGGCAGTGATTGATAAATAAGGAAGGAAAGGCCTATGGCTAAAGTGAATAGCATTTTAAATTAGAAGATCCCAGAGAGATAAACAAAAATCAAACTATAAAAAGGTATTATTTGACTAAAAGATGTCTGAAATAGCTACTTGGGGACAGAGTTTTTAACATTTGTATTAATACTTGTGAACTCATGACTGATTTTTAACCTAGGAAAGTAAAGTGCTTCTACCCACTTGTTTCTATGTTAGACCTTTATATTGGTACATCTGCACTCCTGTTTGCATAAGGCAGCTTACTATACTTTGTAGAACTGATGGCTCCTGAGATTTTAATAGCATTGCTATAAATTGCTAGTGTCTGATAAATGCCTTCATTTTAGATCAAGTGATTTCATATTTATACTTTTTCTAGGGTATGAAAAAATAGGTAGTTTACTAAATGATAATTTGTTTAAATAATTTAGGTGTTGTTCAAGGAATGATAACCGGAATTCGGGGATTATGCAATGGTCTGGGACCAGCCCTCTATGGATTCATTTTCTACATATTCCATGTGGAACTTAAAGAACTGCCAATAACAGGAACAGACCTGGGAACAAACACAAGCCCTCAGCACCACTTTGAACAGGTAATTGTTCATTCACATGATAAAACTGTATAGTTTGGATTAAAAGATAATGATTTTTGGTCACAAATGCTTTCATGTGAGATTCTTATTATTATAGATAGAATAAAACACTTAAAAACCAAAGTCTGAGGGACTGTATTCTCCTGTATACCTTTATGAAATTGGCTGTACATACTTCTCCCTTGAGAATGAAAAATTATTTAAAATATCTAGTTTGTCAAATTACACCCAATGGCATGTGTAATAGCCGTTTGTCTATACTGCTACCTGTCTTTATCTGAGACTTTTGTAACATCACAGTTCCCTATATTAAGCCTATTCTGTATGAAAAGTCAGTTATGTGCTATAAATATTTTTTGTTTGTTTAGTTTTTTTTTTTTGAGACAGTCTTGCTCTGTCACCCAGGCGAGAGTGCCGTGGTGTCAGCCTACCTCACAGCAACCTGAAACTCCTGGGCTCAAGCAATCTCCTGCCTTAGCTTCCCAAGTAGCTGGGACTACAGGCATGCGCCACCATGCCCGGCTGATTTTTTTCTATTTTTAGTAGAAACAGGGTCTCGCTCTTGCTCAGGTTGGTTTCGAACTACTAAGCTAAAGTGATCCTCCCGCCTCAGCCTCCCAGCTAGGATTACAAGCGCGAGCCACTGCACCCGGCCCATCTTTGTTCACTTGTTTACTAAACTTCCTTCATTACAAATTAAAATATTAATGCTAAACAACATTGATCATATTAGTCAATACAGACAGCTCACCATTTTGCTGGCTTATTTTGCCGAGTTCCACACTAACCTTCCAACCAGCTAAGTCTACTTTTAAATTAAAAAAGAATATTTGTTTGTGAGCTACCCCACAAGTGAAACTGGCAGTGCAAGTTTTTTGCTAAGAATGAATGCATGTAATTTTGAGCTAAAACAAAGGTCCGTTTCTTTTTGTAATAACCTGTGTTTTTCTTTCAGTCAATATATTACCTTTTTGAAACAAAGAAAATGGTATTGATTCTGCTACTATAGCCAATATTATATGCTACTTTATTTCGAGATCTTCCTATAAATATTTTCATCTTAGACTAACAAATTAAGTGAAGTTTAATGTCTGTGTTCAGATTTTGTGCTGAAAAATTACAATATGGTATTTTTGCATAGGCTATTTTGCCAGTTGTTATCCCCAGAATTTTATATTGAGACTATGATAATGTCCCTTTTAGCTTATAATTCATAGCAGTCAGTTACTACTAAGAGATAAGCAATTTCTGATGAATAAAAGTGTTTGTGTGAAAATCCTAATTATTTTATTCTTCCTCAGAATTCCATCATCCCTGGCCCCCCCTTCCTATTTGGAGCCTGTTCAGTACTGCTGGCTCTGCTTGTTGCCTTGTTTATTCCGGAACATACCAATTTAAGTTTAAGGTCCAGCAGCTGGAGAAAGCACTGTGGCAGTCACAGCCATCCTCATAGTACACAAGCGCCAGGAGAGGCCAAAGAACCTTTACTCCAGGACACAAATGTGTGACGACTGAAAATCAGGAAGATTTTCCTATCAGCACCCAGGTCTTAGTTTTCACCTCTAGTTGCGGATGTACATTCCATTTCCATCCACAATGTACTTTAAGATTGTCTTAAGAAATGTATTTGCATGAACTCCGTGGGAACTAAAGAAGGTGGGAACTAAAGAAAGAACCGGACAGTTTTCCAAAGATGTTACAATTTCTTTTGAAAAGAAACCTTTTGTTTATTAGCACCAATTTCTTGCCACTAAGCTGTTTGTTTTATTATACATCCTTTAATTAAAAACTATATATGTAACTTCTTAGATATTAGCATATGTCTCTGCTACCATTTCCTTAAGGTGTTGAGCTTTAACTCTATTTATGCTGACCCTCAGTGAGACAGAGTAGGTAGTATGGTTGTGGACTTGTTTAACATTTTAAAATCTTGAGTCAGATTTTAATATTTTAAAATCTTGGGTCAAATAATTCAAAGCCTTAATGCAGATGCACTAAAATAAAGAAATGGTAAATGAATTGTTTGCATTAAAAAAAAAACTCTTAAGAAAATTGTTCTAAATCGGAATCATGTTTCAAGCTTCTTTGCAGTAATTTTATTTTAAACATTATTCACTACCATTTTTGAAATGAAAAAGTATCAGCCATTTAGAATTTAAATTGGGGTGTTCAGAGCCTATCAACCTAAATGCTGGCTCAAATTTGTTCCCCAGATACTTCTTATACCACTATTCTTTTAATGTTTGCATAATCATAAGAACCTCAACACTTGAATACATAATCTAAAAATTATATAGTAAAGCTGGTAGCCTTGAAAATGTCGATGTGATATCTATATGTAGATAAATATATATAGTGGCCTTTCAGGACTGTCACAGTAACACTTTATTTACAGAGCTAATGTTTGTCCTAAATTTTCAGGACCCTAGAGGAGAGCTTTATACAATTACTGATGTGAATTTCTCTAAAAGTGTATATTTTTGTGTCCAGTTATATTATTTAAAAAGTGTTACTTTGTAAAAATTGTACATAAAGTATTGTATAGTTTACACTGTTTTCATCTTGTGTGTGGTTATTGCTTAATGCTTTTTAAATTTGGAACACTCACTATGGTTAAATAAGGTCTTAAAAGAAATGTTAATATTCAGTTAATAAAATTAAATATTTTAATGATTTCTTTTTTAAAAAAAAGTCTTGATCTGTGAATCCCAATAGGGCCTGTTTGGGCTTTATATTACCATAAATATTTTTTTTTTACAGTAACAAATCAAAACTTTATCCCTTCTCTCTTTGAATCCATTTCTTTTCCCTCACTAAAAAATACTCTTGTAGAAAGACGAGAGTAAAGAAATGAAAACTTGGTATGCATATTAACCAGAAGTACTTGATTTTCTAAGCATAGATGTTGCGATCAATCTCTTATTTCTTTCGTATATTTTTTACGTGTCATACTCCAAAAGTAATTTTAATACTTTATTACAAAGCTCACAGTTTATAGAAATACCTTTAAATGCAATATTTTGATCATTAACACATGTACAATTTTACACTGCAAAACCATTTCAAATAAAATTTTAAGAGGTAGAACAAAGAATACTTGGAAGCCTGTATATATACATTTAATACAAAAACATCTTCAAGTAAGTTGGTATCCAGAATGATGTTATCCTGTCTTTTGGAAATGCTCTCAATTTTCCATATGTGGATATGGAAAGGGAGGGGTATCTATATTTAAAAAAAAGAGAGCTACTTGTATGTCATGTATTGCATCCCAAACCTGTCACAATGTTTTATATATGTAATATAGTATTTACAACAAAGCAGATTCCAATATCACCAAGAAGCTTCTTTCCAGAATAGTCAGTGCTTTCAAGTTATTGTAACTAAATATTCTTAACTAATATAGTATATCTAAATGAGAGGGGGGAGTCACTGCCTAATATTAGTTACTGAATTTTCAGATTAGATCCCTAGTTTAAGACAGCTTGTAATGACCAGCAGATTCGAAGTAGATAGTGGCATCATAAAAAAAAGTTTTAGCAAAGATTCTTTGTCTTACCATGGAACCCAGTAACGTTGGTATGTCATTAATATCTTGAAATGTCTCTTTCCTTATCTGTAATAAAGTACTTAAATATAATTTTTAAACTATCACATGAGCATTAGCACTGTGCAAAGATTGATTTGGAGGACACAAAAGAATGCTATGTGGTATCACATGGTTGTCAACAAGAAAATATTGGGGCCCTATGATTCTGAGTGAGTTTTTAAATCACCTAATTATCTCCAAGAAACAATTCTTACTGGAAACTTACAAGGAAGAGAAGAAACTTGTAACTTCTGACAGTTATTTGTTTTGCCTACTTTATTAACATTAAAATCAACCAGAGTTTTCATATTATAAAAGCAAATACAGTGAATATTCATGATGCTCTTAAAGATTTCGCATGATGCCAATTTTTAAAACAAAATTCCACTGATACAGACTTAACTGCATAACTAATAAAAATCCAAATTGAGAAAAATTGGATGAGTGAAAACTTTCAGGAAGCACTAAAATCCTTTCAGCTCAAAGGACTAAAGCACTTTATACCTAATCTAGTCATGTAAATACACTGTCCAAATTATTTTTACAAATATATCACATTCATTTAGCAGATTCATTCAGTAAGTATTTCAAGGAAAATACTCACATTTACTTGCTATTAAGGCTTATCTCATTTCAGTCTTTTAAGGTTAATTTAGGATTTTTCCCTTTAATGTCAACATCATCAATAATATAGATATTTCAGGAGATAATTTTCCCTCATAATTTTCAGGTGGTAAATTTAAAACTTACCAATGAAAATGATAAAAATGAATTATTAGCATTCTTTGGTTTCATACTATTACATTCTAAGCCGGTTTTAATTTACTCAGATTTTCAGTATGATTAGAATCTCCCTTATAAGGATCAACTCTCCTTAGAACTGAATTTCTAAAGATTAATTTAATAAAATTCATACTATTATCCTATAAAATACCACGTTCACAAACCAAAAGTCATTTACTCAGAATCTTTACCAACCCCTGAGTACAAATTTGTTCCTGTAAACTGCCATAAATGACAGCAGCACTTAATAAAGAATCCAAACAATCTACAATAGCTGAAATAAGTTTGAAACTTGCTTGTTTAGGATTTATGTTAACATATTTTTAAACCACCTGAGTTTCTAAAAATGTCAATAAAAAGTAAAACATGACACTAGAATTAACTGTTTGGTAACTGCCCAGGGAAATATGCTGAAGATGTAGAAGGGAGCACTGTGGGTTTGGAAGATGTCTGTAATGCTCCTAGAGGGCCATCTTTCTGATGGTCTGCAAATGAAGACAAAACAAGATTATGGGTACTCAGTCTTTGTATATACATTCAAGTAAATCACAGTGTACAGAGTCCAATTCAGAAATGCCTTCTCACCTGAATTACTAAATAGATTCTGGCTGAGTCCACGTAAAGGAATGCTATCTTCCCTTTTCTTCAGGTATTTGGATTCCAGCCCTAAATTTTCACCACTTAAAAGGAAAATAGTAATAACAAAGTCTTATTTTGTCTTCATTAATTTTGAAGGTTTGTCTCATATATACATATAAACTCTATATACGATAACTAAGTTGTATTTATAGTTTAACTTTGTTCAGATCACATTCACTGGTTTCCTAAGCAAATAATAATTCGTCTACATATAAATCAAAGTATCCTTCTCAGTAAATTACAGTGAATTAAAAATTCTAAGACCTGAGATAAAGACTAGAAATGAAAATCTACAAGTACTATAAAATTTTAAACAGTAGCACATAAGTGATACATGATAGATATAAAAAAATACATACATGCCTTGAGAATATCCCTATTAATTACTTTAATAATTTCTATCTCATCCTGTATTTAAAATGAATAAGGCTTATTTTTCCTTTGACCAAAAGCTCTTCAAAATTTTGTAGTGCTTCAAAGTAATCATTATCAAATATTAATACATAGTAACAATGAGCTCTGGTCAGACGAATACAAATGTGAAATTTTGGAAAATAAAAGAAGAATATTTCTGTATTTTTCACCATTCCACCACTGCATTCCTGCTTTCTAATTCTGTTCAGTGTTAACAGTTTCCCTAGTAGTACACATGTAATAAGAAGTTAAAGGCTCTTGCAAAACAATGACAATATATCCTTAAAGTTAAATGCTGGTTGATCTTTTCCCAATTTTCACAAAATAAGTGGGTGAATAGGCATTTTTTTTCAATTTCAACTTTTTTCTTAACCTTGATACCCACTGCCACTTTCTGCTAGGTGACAACAAATAAACCAGAAAAACTCAAAATTGCTCAACAGTCCTAATTTTATGGACAGATGATTGATTTTGTACTACAAATACGATTGTCATATTTTCTGCTAATAAAATTGCTCTTGGTGTGTATGATGAATTAAACATATAAACATTATGTTTCTCTACCATTAATGGGAATACCAGGTCTTCTGCCTCATGAACAAGTGTGATATTAAATATAACAAATATATACATTTCAGGACCTCCAGGAATTCTGATCTTTTTTAAAAAAGGGAGGCTCACAAACATTAACTATTTTAATACTCATCCTAGTGGCAATTTCAGAAGACTTAATGAATAAAGGCAGGAGAGCTAGAATAAGAACCGTTTTTGAACTATGTTAGTAATTTAGTTTGCAATGTATTGAGATGGTGATAGCTCATGATAATGAGTGTCAGACAGGCATTAAAGCTATTAAATTACAAGTAAATAACCATAATGATTAAAAAAAATTACAAACATGAAGCCTACCCAGAGAGAAAAATCTGCATGTATATGTTATTTAATTTAACCACAAGTCACTTAGTCAACAAACTTTACTATCTAACCCCTATTTAAGACCTTAAAGCTTGGGAAAGAATGTGAGCAGGCAAAACAAGTCACAAATTGGCAGTAAAGCTCATTTATGTTATCTATGGGACAATGTCACAAACCATTTTACTCTTATTCGCCATAAATTTCTAGCAGATTAACTTGCTGGTCTCTTACACCATGTGACACTGGAAGTAATAAATCAGAAAAATGGAGAGCTTCCAGGGGCAGACACAGCCACACAGGAAAACAAAAAAACAGCTGACCATGAGAAATCAAAAAAGATTTCTATGTATATGCCCAAAAATACTTAAAAGGGCAATATTCAGTTATGTAGGAAAATCTCTTGAGACAAATAAAATGTTACTGTGTGTCTCAGAGTATCCCAAAGTTTAAAAAAATAAATGAGAAATCTCTTTTTTATAGGTAAAAGTGACTCAACTTAAAATTCCACTGACCAGTAACTTAAAATGTATCAGATATATAGGTGGGCACAAACACTGATAAAAATTCTTTAAGATAACCTTCAAAAGTGCAAACATTAAATTTTATGTCAATAAGTACTTACTTTTCCTTATCAGCTGAGCAAGGCATACTAATAGTTGCTCCTGACTGAACATCTCCTAGCGATGTATTTGGTTTTGTAAATTGCAAGTTAAACTGAACCTGTGAAGAAAAATATCTCATACAACTGAATTAATGAGAACTGAGTTCTATATTGAGATACGTGGTGAAATTGTTCTTCTGATAAATCTACCATAAAAATACAGGTTTCACCTATATTTTATAACACAAGCACATTCTATTGAGAAGATTTAATAAAAAGAATCCTATTGTTCCTTACCAAAGAAGTACCTGTCATATAAGATGAATAAAACAAAATGATTCTCTTAGTTTGAAAGAAAAACGTGAACACTAAATCATTCAAATGAAGTGTTGCAGAGTTAAAAGTAACCAAGCACCACAATAATGCATTTACCTCATGCATTCTGAAAATACTTCTCTTTTCATGACTTTCAAAGCCTGTTATATTTATTTAAGGATTCTAAATGAAGGCTTGGAATTTGAATTTTGAAATAGTCAAAAGTAATCAAGAATCTATGCAAAAATCTAGAGTAAAATATTAGCATTTATTAATAAGACATAGTAGCTTATTTAATAATGTACTACGATTGAGTGGGTTTTGTAACAGAAAGGTATATATGGGCTCTATATTATAAAGTTTATAAACAAATCATTATACCAATAGATCAAAGAAGAGAAATCATGACCACCTGTATACAAAAAGAAAAGGCATAAGAAAACAATACACGTCAATTTTTGGCGAAAACTCAAAATAGGAATAGATACTAGCTTAATATGGTAAAATTATAAATTAGGAAGATATATGCTGCTGTACGTGGCTATCAAGTTTCAATGGTGTAAAGATACCAGTTCTCCCTACATTAACCTACGCTTACCATAGTTACATTACATACAAATAGGTTTTTTAAAGCAAGACAAACTGTTTCTAATATTTTTTATAGAAAAATAAACATTCAATAAGAGGGAAGAAAATTAAGAAAGGATACCAGATATTAATAAATAATAGCTTCCAGTCACCAACCATAAACAATTAGAAAAGTGGACAAAACAAATGAAAACAATGTCCTCAGATATCAGACCACAGGGAGTGCAGGACTGAGATCTCTGAGAAGTGTTATTCCTATAATCAATCCAGCTTTCTAACTGGAGGCACCTTCCTGCCAGCAAGTGCAGAGGGAGAACACAAATGCTGAACTGAGGAGATCAAGATCAGAATTTAGCAAGGTTGGGTGGCTGGAGGCTGCAGGGCTGAGTTCTGATGAAAAGGGAGCTATACAGAGAATAGTCTCTAGAAATCTGTCTGTTGATCTCCTTGAGTCTTTGCTGAGTACTAGGTACACGCATACGGTAAAACTCCACAAGGATGGGTAAATAAAGACAGGAGCATTTTAAGCTGAATAATTTCCAAGGTTCATAAGCAGAGAGCCCTTGGCTAGAGTGGAAAGCCGTGAAGGATCACACCTTTGTATTAGGGCTGACCTGTCCCTTGAGAAGAAGGTACTTTAGATACACCCTAGCAATGCTAAAGAGAAAAGAAAAAAAAAACTTTGAGAGCATTAGTATCTATATAAAATGAAGCAAATAATAATGAAATAAATAAATGAACAGTCTCAATGGAACAATATTATGTGATCAACCAGGTATTATTGGAGAACCAAGGAGTACGAAAGGAAGAGAATAGAAAAAAAAATGTGAAGAAATAATGACCAGAATTTCCTAAACTGATGAAAACTATAAACCCACTAATTGAAGAACCTCACGAAAACCCAGTGCATATGGATGCACATGCACCACACCAAGCACATAATTAGGATGTTGAAAATTAAGGCTAAAGAGAAAATCTTAAAAACACCCAAAGAAATATATAGAAAAAGTGATAAACATGGATGACATCTTCAACATGTAGAAAGGAAAAAAGAATCTGTTGACGTAGAATTTTAAATGCAGAGAAAATGATGTCAAAATAACAATCTGAGACAAATGCAGAATTGCCTGCATGCCTGCACTGTAATAAATCTTACAGACTTGTACTATATGAGATCTCAAAGTTATTAAAGAGAAAGGAAAATGATCCCAGATGAAGATTTAGATCTACAAAAAGGAATAAAGAGTATGTAAATAGTAAATGTATGAGTAGACTAAAGACTTTTACTGATTGTTTAATTTCTTTAAAATATACTTGATTGTGTAAAGCAAAAAAAAACAGTGAGATTCATAACAAATGTAAAAGTAAAATTTTGACAACAGTCACAAAAGCACATGAGGGAGGAAATGGAAGTATATTATTTTAAAGTTCTTATTTTACACGGAAAGTATTATACTATTATTTGAAGGTGGATTATGATAAGATGAAAATGTATATGTAAACCAGAGCAAACACAAAGAAAATAAAGTCAACAGTAGATAGAAAATGGAAAACAAAATATAATGCACAAAGGCCAGAATGTCTCCTTTCACACTTACTTAAATTTAAATTGTAATAAGGTGAGAAAAATAAATAAAAGGCAACCAAATTGGAAAGGAAGAACTAAAGTTGTCATTATTTTCAGATGAAATAATAGTTTTTGTGTAAAGTCAAAGAGAATCTACAAAAAAAATTGAGTTTAATAAATGAGTAGCAAAGTTTCAGGACACAAAATCAATATACAAAAATCAACTATGTTTCTATACATCATTGAATATTCTGACATAGAAATTACTAAAACAATTACATCAGCAACAGCATCAAAAGGAATTCTTAGTAATAAATTTAACAAAAGAAATGTAAGACATGCACATTGAAAACTGCAAAACATTACTAAGAGAAATGAAAGAAGATCTAAATAAATGGAGAGACTCTTAAGGTCTCATGGATTGGAAGACAAAATATTGTCAAAATAGTGTTTCTTTAAAAATTGACCTATAAATTCAATTTTCCCCTATCAAAATTCAAATAGACTATATTGTAGAAATTGACAAGCTAATCATTTATGTAAAAATGAAAAAGGATCTAAAATAAAAATGTAAAGAATATGAAACAATTTTGAAAAAGAAGAATAGAGTTGATGGATTTACACTATCCATTTTTGAAACCTAATATAAAGTCACAGTGATTAAGACAGTATGGTATTGGCACAAAGATAGGCATATAAATCAATGAAACAGAATTGAGAGTCCTGAAGAAAATCCTTACATTTATGGTCAATTGATTTTCAACAAAGGTGCTTAGACAATTAAACAGGGAAAAGATCTTTTCAACAATGGTACTGAAATAATTGGAATATCCATATAAAAAAAAATGAACTTAGACCCCTACTTTACATCATACACAAAAATGGATCACAGTGGATCATAGATTTAAATGTAATAGCTAAAACTATAAAACTTCTAGAATAAAACACAGGAGAAAATGTTTTCAACATGTGGTTGGACAAAGAGTTCGGAGACATGATTCCCAAAGCATGATCCATGAAAGGAAAAAATTTGATAAAGTGGACTTCATCAAAAATTAAAATCTTTTATGTTTCAAAAGATACCATTAAGAAAATGAAAAGGGAAGCCACACTAGGAGAGAATATTTGCAAATCATATGCTTAATAAAGGACTTCTATCCAGAACACACAAAGAACTCTCATAACTTAATAGAAAGACAAACAAACTTGTTTAACACATACTAGATGTTTAATTTTAGTGATTCTAATACATGTGTAGAAGAACTTTGTTGTGCTTTTAATTTGCATTACTCTAAAAGATAATGAGGTTGAATATTTATGCGCTTATTTGACATCAGAATATCTACTTTGGTGAAATATCTATTTGAATGCTTTGCCGATAGTTAAACAAATTTACCACCAGTAGTCTAAGAGTTCAAGTCATTCTGCATCCTTTTAACAATTGGTAAAACCACTTTGGAAAAGTCTGGCAATTTCTTGAAAATGAAACATATACCACCAAGCCATCCCATTCCTAGGTATTCATCCCCAATAAATAGAAAAATTTACACATAAATGTTCAGAGCAGGTTAATCTATAATATCCAAATATTGAAAACAACTCAAATGCCCATCAACTTATGAATGTATAAACAAATTGTGGCATATCAATATAATCAAATACTACTGGGCAATTAAAAGAAATTAACTATTAATAAGCAATACAACCTGGAAGAACCTCACACATGTTATTAGTGAAAGAGAAAAGACACCAAAAAACTACTTATTTTATGATTCTATTTATATGAAGTTTAAAAAGGCAAATTTATTTTATTTATTTATTTTTTATTTCAGGATTTAAAGTGACAGAAAGGCAATCAGTAGTTGAGGCAGGAGTATGGATTAACTGAAAACAGGCACTAGAGAACTTTTTGGGGTAACGTAAATATTCTAAAACTGAACTGTTGTGATGGTTTCACAACTCTATAAACTGACTAAAAGTATTGAACTATAAACTTACAGTGGAAGAATTTTATAATATGGAAATTATAACTTAATAAATCTTTAAATTTCAAAAAGGAAGCATAATGAAGAGAGTAAAAAGACAATGCAAAAATTGCAAAATAATAGTTAACACATAAAAGCAACATCAGACTAGTGGCCAGAATACATAAAGAATGCTTATAAAATTGTTTTATAAATATTAAATATTGTAAACAAAAAGATGAATAAAAGAAAAAGCCAGGCACAGAGTGGTCTGTGCCTGTAGTTCCGGGTGCTCAGGAGGCTGAGCTGGGAGTTGTCACTCAAGCCCAGGAGATAGAAGCCAGCCTGGGCAATGTAGCGAGACTCCATATATAAACATAAACACACACACACACACACACACACACACACACATACACATACACAAAACCAAAAACAAACATAAAAAAATGAATGAACAAGAATTTTACAGAATAGAAGATATAACCCATAAATACATAAAAAGATATTCCTCACTTTAACAACCAGGGAAATGTTATTAATAATTAACATCACAATAAGATACTATTTTCAGCCACCAGATAGGCAAAAATGCCTTTGATCCAGTTACTTCTAATAATTTATCCTATAAATCTATTTGTAAAGGTCACAAAGATGTATGCACAAAGAAAGTCACTGCAGCATTGTATAAGTATCTAATAGATTAAAAACAACCTAAACAATTACCCATAAATGGTACTAGTTAATTATAGTACATCCATATACTGGAATATTATGATGTCATTAAAAAACAAAAACTTACATTCTGATACACTGAAATAGGCCTATTCCATGATAACAATGTTAAATGAAAAAATCAAAACATAGGCCGGAAGCAGTAGCTCATGCCTGTAATCCCAGCACTTTGGGAGACCGAGGCTGGAGGACTGCTTGAGGCCAGGAGTTTGAGACCAGCCTGGGCAACATAGCAAGACCATGTCCCTACAAAAAATTTTTTTAAATTAGCCAGGTGTGGTGGCATGCTCCTGTAGTCCCAGCTATTCCAGAGGGTGAGGCAGGAGGATCACTTGAGCCCAGGAGTTTGAGATTGCAGTGAGCTATGATTACACCACTGAACTACAGCCTGGGCAACAGAGTAAGACTCTGTCTCCAAAAAAAAAAAAAATTAAATTAAATTATTTAAAAAAGCAAGGCATAGAACAGTGGGCATGTACTATTTATGCTTATCTATATAGACACTCATATATATATATATGAACATACATATGTATATATGCATGCACATATATTCTTGTATATGCTTTAAATATTTTTGGAATGTATCACAAGAAATTTCAAAATATTTTTCTCTAAGGAGAGAATGGGGATCACAGTACAGACATTTAGACAGTATATCCTCTTGTCCCTTTGGAAGCTTCTTATACATTATCTATTTTTTAAAATAGTTAATACTAAATAAACAGAAATTTAGAATCATCCAGTGAATGAGGTGGTTAATCAAACCGAGTAATACTATCTCTAGATAAAAATCTGTTTTTGGATGCACACTGTGGGCCAAACACTATCAAGATAAATAAATCAATCATTGGGCCCCTTTCTCACTGCAAAAAATCTCTCACACACTTCATAATTTCCTTGATGAATGTTTGACATTGAAGACTAAGAATTTAATCAAAAGATTCAATCAAAGTATTTTCTTTGACATCAAATAATATATCCTCTTTAATAACAGTTCAGTTTGAAAGATCTTACAGTTTACTATCTAATGGTATTTCACCACAAAATGTAAGCACCAGAGTGTCAGGCACTTTATTTTATTCAACACTGTATCTCCTGCAACTGTTAATAGAACAATGCCTGGCCATAATAGACATTCATTAAATACTTATTGAATGAATGAATCCTTGGCTATTACTGTCTTCAAAAATAAAGGAGAAAAAATAAGTAATTTTGTCTATCTTGCTTTAAAATATCAAGTGTTTGTTCTATTTGTCAGCACAGCACAATTTTTAAAAATACTCTTATGGATTCTTTTGGCATGACTTTGTTTGTTGCCTATATCAACTTCTAATGTTATTTTACATCCTCACAGTTAAACATCTACTTAAATACACTAAATCTTTGACAGTAACATTTTAATACATCAAGTATATTATAGGTTCAATGTTATAAAATAAAATATTTTTTTAAATTGTAACTAAAAAGAACATGTTTTAATCACCATACCTGCTAGCACAAGCCTGCCTAAATCAATAGAAAAATTAGCTTGGTGTGGTTTTGCACACCTATAGTCCCAGCTGCTTGGGAGGCTGTGGCAGGAGAATCCTTTCAGCCCAGGAATTTGAGGTTGCAATGAGCTATGATGATGCCACTGCACTCTAGCCCAGGCAATGGAGCAAGACTCTTGTCTCAAAAAGACAAAAAAAAAACCAACTACCTACACCAATGGCCACTAAAGTAGGCAGTGATTAAGACCATCCATTGAGGCTGGAGAAGAAAATCTTATAACTTCAATTTATATCCATTTTTAATCTCATTCTTTAATTTCTATTTTTGAATACATTTTATTATTAATAATAGTAGATAACATTTATGGAGCACTTATCATGTATCAGGCACTATTCTGAGCAAATACATCAATTCATTTAACTCAATAATCCAGTAAGGTAGAGAAAATTATCACTCCATTTTACATGTGGGGAAACGAAGCCTAAGAGTAGGATATTGTTTGTTTGTTTTTTAGTGGCTTCCTCAACTTTACATTGATAGAAGCAGGATTTAAAGTTTAACATCAGATTCCACTTTCTTAACTACTAAATTATATTGTATATAATAAACTATTTCAGCAGTATATGCATAAATTCATAAATATTCATGAATTAGAGGTCAAAGTGTTTTGCTTGTTTTAGGGTTTTTTTCTGACTGTTGGGAATACATGATCAAAGGAAGATGGAGAGCAATTATATAAAAAACACAAAGTCTTGCTCCTATGTTTAAGAATATTCTTGTTATAATGATTCCTGTGATTCCACAATACTTATAAGAAACGTAATTTCATTATTTTATAAGTCATATTGTCCTACCAAGTAGGCAACTATCGTAGATCTTGTCCTCATTGTGTACATTTTATATATATTTTTTTTTCCTGGAAAGTTGCTTAAAATAAAAAAACTGTGAATTCCATCATAATTCTCAAGGAAAAAAATGATCCCAAATGTAATCACACTTGCGTATACTGATATTTATCATAGAATAATAGTATTCTTTTGAATGCATGTATCTAATTCTCCTTAAAAAGCAATGCATGAAGAGCCGATTAAATGCCAGAAAATATTCTTTACATAACAGTAGTCTAAGCACAAAAACTCAGGTTTAATTCTCATTTCATTCAGAATTCTCTATAGCTCCAGATAATTAATAAGGATATGGCTAAAAAAGAGCACATGCCTAAGCAACACAGCCAACTTATTTTTAGAAGAGCCAGACCTAATTTGATAAAGAGTTTATAATACCAGTTTCAAAGTCTTAAATTCTATCTTTTATAAAATACTTTTTTCATAAATGTTTGTTTCCATGATGTAGGAAAAAATCAACTTAGACCTGAAGTTAGGAATAAAAATAAAAGCAGTGACTAATCTGGGTGTATTAAATTATTATGAAAATAAAATTGTAATACATATGAAAACAATATATATTCCTTTACTTATCTATAAATATATATATATATATAAAAACTAAGACATTAGTAATAATAGTGATGATGAAGAACTCAAGTGGGTAGAAGAAAGTCTTAACAAATAAATCAAGGGTTGGAGGGATTGCTAGTCATACACTTTTTAAGATAATGTTGCCAGAACTACACTGTAGAATTTGACATAAGCCTGCCCTACACCAGAGCTTTAAATTCTGGCAACAAAATCCAAAAATGTTACCAGAGCTAATACTCCAGCAGTATATCCTAGTCAGTAATGCTAGTTATGCTTGAGAATTGTAGAATATATTCATATAAGCAGAAGAATGAATAAAAATGGAGAGGTTGATTAGAAATAAGGTTTAAGTAGACTGATAATCCAGTCTTTTACAAATTATAGTGACTCAAGAAATATAGCACATATATTTCTATAAACATATATACTATTCAGTAATGTATTCAATTTAATGTTACCTAATATTTAGCAACTGACCAAGTAAACAATGAACTTATAAAAGATAAAAGATATTTGTATGCTAATAAGTTGCTGTATTTTTCCAGAAAAAATATTAGTTAATTTGGCTACCTTTGGTCCTGAAACCGGGTGGATGGTATTTTTGGCAGATATCGAATGAGGAAAGGTATTTTGGAATGCAAATGCAGAGGAGACAGGATAGCCAATCCCACAAGTTGGGTAAGTTAGTCTACCATCAACCTAAAAATAAAAACATAAAAATGATTAAAAATGAGAAATTAATTCTAAATAGTATTTGTTAATCAGGAGGCATTAGCATGTGTTATAATAACCAACAATTAAGGGCACTATCTCAGAGGCCAATTTGTTTATGATACGTTTGAACCAGATGGTTTTTTCGAGTGGCTGCGCAAGCTTGGATAAAATAAACTACCAGACCTGCTTTTGTAGTTAGTTAAAACAAAGACTTCTGAACCACCTTGTTTTATTCTAGGGTTCCTGAAAAGCAGGGGAATTGAGAATGTGGAGTCATAGATCAATAGGCCAATCAAAGATAAAATAAAAATTTTCTGCCAAACTGAATAAAAAGATCAGTGTTCTTAAATGGACTAATTGAGACAATAATTGGCTTTATACTAATTTTCAATATACTGGCATCTCTATTAACCAATGTTATAAAAACAGTTTATTTTTATAAGAGACCAACTGAAACACAAATCTTAAGAAGCATTTGTACAATCCAATGGCTGTACAACGAAAATACCTTTCGCATAGCTGTCTATCATCAGTCATTCAAGATTAAGCCAGTTAAATTTTTTCAAGTTTATAATTTGGACTCAAGCACTTCTGTACCTTTTTCCAATTTAGCAGCAATTCTTTCCCTTCTTTAGACACTTAGTACTATCTCATTTACCAGAGTAGATTAAAAATTCAATTAGGTATTTGAATTTGAAACCCTCTACCAATGCCTTCCAGCCAAAGACCACCAGGAACCCACCTATATAGACGTACAAGCTGGGTTTATTCCTCCTTGTAACAAGAGAAACTGCACACCATGGAGAACCACAGGGTGTCTCAGTAAGTGGGTATTAAATGGAACTTACTTTATGGATTTAGACAATGATAGGTGATTTAAGAGAACATTTAAGAAACTAGGGCTTTGCTACGGATTGGAAGCTGTCAGAAAGTGGGAATAAATATATGACTGAGTATCTGAATAAATCCTATCTCATAAGGGAGAAGGAATGTATTAAAGCCAAAGCTATAATCAGTTAAGAAGCAGCAGCCACTCATGTTAGCCAGGAGAAGAGGATGTGTGGCCATTTTTGTGGTTTAAAAATGTTCATATTTGTGTCTGTGTTCACACACAGTTATGGAGTAGCCTTAGTTTTGTCCTGATCCATCCCGGTCACAGAGCAGCCTTGTCTGATGTTGATATTCTATGAAATTGTTATGTTCAGCAGGAGAGCCCCCAAGCCTATCTGTGAGCACTAGGCAAGCTCCTAGCAGCAGCACCTAGGCCTAGCCACCTGATAGTAGCAGGACATCTCTGAATGTAAAGAGCTACTTTTCTTATTCTCCCTTTTTTCTTGCAAGGAAAAAGCAAAAGACCCGGTTCTGGGAGCTAAAAAGCTTACATCTCATACCAGTTTCTTCTAGAATCTAGAGCTGACAATCCTGCTCACAGAGCTTTTCTTTTTCTTTTTCCCTCTCTTTTTCTGACAGACTTCAGTTTGGGCTTTCTCTATCATAGTTCCTTGAGCCCAAACCCTAAATTCTCTCTTCTTGAAGTCTCCTAAATATATTATGTGTATATTTTAAAGCTTTTCAGCATATTTGGCATTACCTTAGTTAGTACTGAATGATTTCTATACCCAGTAAAGTTTATGAAGTGTGCCCTTGAAACACGGCCTCTTTGTTAAAAGCAAGTGTGCCTTTGTGCCACTTCAGGGGCAACTTAAACTTTACTTCAGTGCTAATAATTGTAGGACTTCAGCCTGTATTGGTACCAACACCTTAAGTCATGGAAACTTCCCAACAATCTGGGAATACTTTTGTTTCCGAAAATTCACTAAGATCACTTATACCTTATTTTAATCTTACCACATTCAAGTTAGGAGAAATTCCACTTCTGATTGTGTTGCTGCTAGAATGTGCAGGTGGGGTAGTAGAAGGTCCCAATACATCTTGCTTTCTCACTAGCTGATTTTCATTTAGTTCTTTATTTAACCATGTGATTACTTAAATAAAAGAGCAAAAGTCAAGGTAATTTGACTATTTTTATTTTTTAATCATTTTAAGCAATTTTATTAAGATTTTTAAAATTATAAGTTTTTACAATGACCTTACATCACAGGAGAACAATATAGGTTCACCTAAATGTTTGTAATTAAAGATTCTTATTTTTAGCAACTGCCACACAGGACTCCTTTTTCTATTATTTTCAGAAGCACATATTTCTGGTACTAGAAACTGAGAAAAACGTTAGAAGCTTAATCTTATATTTTAGTTTCACACAATTCATATTGTTACTATTAGGTAAACAGCAATTTTTAAAAAGGAGTAGTGAAGAATTTAAACAATAAATTATATTCAACATATTAAGTAGTTTTAATTTTGGGTTACTGACACATGGGATATGGTTTTCTTCATAATGATGATAACTATTTTACTGGGCAACTGATATAATTTACTATAGCAAAGATATTAAGATAGCATATTGAAAGCATAAATTATTTATATATAGCAATATCTTGATTTACCCACACTTTTATGAATTCAAATAAAATTTTCAAGTTAAGAAAACTATAAATCTCATTTACATATAAATGTAACATACTTACACTTTTCATTATTTTTCAAAAGCTGTTTGCTTTCTTCAAGTTTTTGAACTGTAGCTTCTAATTGTTCTTGTAACTTACATACCTGAAATATTCCAATCCTCACAGTAAGTCAAACAAAATAAAGATTAAATAAAAACTGAAGAAATGCATATACTATTAATTAAATAATTAAATACTAATATTAAATGAGAATAAAGGAATTAGCTCAACTTTGTAATAAAATATTTATGTGTGTATATACATATAGATATTGAGCAATCAAGGTATTTGAGTCATGATAATTAACTTTTCAAACTGAAATAGGTTATTAACTTCTGCTAAATCTAGTGTTCTTTTGTTTTAAAAAATGCCAAAGCCACTAATATAACAAAGTAGAAATTTTTAAAAATACATCTGAGGAAATAAAATAGTAACAATCAAAAATATAAAATATTAACTACCTCTTGCTCTTTAATTCGAAGAGACTGTCCAATATCTTGTAATTCCTTTTGCTCCTTTTGTAATTTTTCCTCCTTCTCAGCCAAGAGTTTTTCCTGCTGAATAGTAACTGTATTCTTCAGTTTCAACTTACCCATTAGAGTTTTCAGATCCCCTTGTAACTTCTTGATAATTTCATTTGCCTGTAAAAGAGCTGATATGTATATCTCTACATAAGCTGATGAAATATTAATATTCTACTAAAGTTTAAAAACAAACCTTCAGAAGTTCTGCTGATAATGATTTTATTGTAGCTTCAAGTTTTCCTAGCTGTACTTGATTTTTCTCCCCATTTTCTTCTAAGGCCACCTGATATGTATTTTTAAAAACATGAATAATTAGGGCATTTGTGTTTATGTAGGAAGAGCATCACTTATAAATATGATCATTTTGTTTAGAAAAATTTAAAAGTAGACCTTCTGCTCCTGGATTGTATCAAATGCTTCTTTTGTTCTTAAAACAAGCTGGTCCTTATCCTTGATTTCCTGTTCTAAAACTGCCACTTTTGTTTGTAGCTGATTAATATGCTTTTCTTTCTCGTGGCATTCGGCATCTAGTGTAGAATTTTCTCTTCGCAAAGAGAGGACTTCTTGCTTAGTTCGCTGCAACTCCTAGAAGGGGAAAAAAGAAATTATACATTATGAAAAAGAGAAATTGGCTGGTCTAGTTATTTACAGTTAAGATCTTTAAAATATCAAAAATGTCTTTAATAATTTTAAAGTTCTAATTCATATTGTTTCTTAAAAAACATGAAAGCATCTCTATGATATGTATAACTTATAGATTTAGAATACAATTATAAAATACACTACTATTTAATTCAACCATATTAAGGGAATATAAAACAATCCTGATTCGTGAATAAATTACTACAACTTTTAAAAACTTGTAACAAGAATTTTCTGATGTCTCCCCAACTGATTCTAAGGATAGCCAAGGATGAGAGCCACAATCTAGAGTAAACGTTTTTCTCTGTTGCTTCTATCTACAGACTTTTTTTTAAAGGCTCTTACTGTGCAATTTATAATCTATCTTCTTCACCTAATACATTACAAATATCTTTCCACGTCAATAAATAAGTCAACATTTCTGAATTTCCTTTTGGTTCACTCTTTGAAGCACAAATGACAATTGTTAATTAAAAATAGATTGTCAAAAAATCTAAAATAGATCACTTCTCAATCAGCTAATACTAACTCAAATGTTGCTGATACACACAGTTCAGTATAGTATTCCTAGTTTTAGTCTTTAACAAAAATTTAAAAAATTAATTTTACAGTATTATACTGTAGTGGTTTTAGGAGCATAGAATCAAATAGAATTTAAGTTCTGTGATCTTGAGAATTACTTAATCTCCCTAAACCTCAGTTCCCTCATTTGTACAACAGAAATGATAACAAATACTTAATAAATTATTTCATTTAATCTTCATAAAAATCTTTAAATTGCCTTGCACATTGGCTGGCATATAGTAAATATTCAATAAATGATAGTAGCAATTGTTATTTTTAGGGCAGTAATGCCTAAAGAGTATAATTTAAGAAAGCTAATGAATACTCAGAAGTAAAAAAAAACTTCCCAGGACTCATTATTTGTAAGTCTTATGTAAATCTTGGAAGATATATTTTGATTAGATTATACAAAAATCAACAGAATGAAGACTGTCTATATCCTGGCCAGTTTCAGGGCTGAGATAGAAGAAATCACATAGGATTATAATGAATCTTTTAGACAACCAATATACCATGAAGTCTGAAATGTTTTACTAACCGATGTGAAGGGTGTAAGCAGGAAAAACTGAAGACGTCTATTGTTGGGGCAAAACACTATGAGGATCTGAACATAAAATTGATCAGACATTAGAGCTTCTAAGCAGGACAGTCTGGAGAAATGGAAGTGGAAAAGTCTTGTGAACTAGAATAACACTGGTGATCTTTCTATTTAAATATGATAGACTTTGAAAATCTATATATATTTCCTGATAATTCATATGACAATAATGTATAATAATGCTACACAGTCTATCATCAGTGGCAAAGCATCAACAAATGTGCCATAACGGCACAATTTTAAAAATTTCTTTGTTGCCTGAGAGAACAAGGTAATAAAAAAGACAGGCAAATAACAGATGGGTTCCAATCCTTGGCTTCCACTTACTGGCTATGTGACTTTACGCAAGTTATTTAATGTCTCTGTACCTTAGTTTCATCATCTATAAAATCAGTATAATAATAGAACTTACCTTAAAGAACTGTTATAATTAAATGCACTAATATACACCTATCACATAACAAATGCTCAGAAAGCAATAACTATTATCTTTACTATTACTATTATCATTATTATTACTTGACAGTAAACTTCATATAATTGTATGATATGTTGAGTTGGCTGAGGGAAAGAACCACCCCTGTCAACACTGACACCCTATGAGAGACAGACGCCACACTAATATTAAAAATACACTCAAGAATCCTAGAGCTGTTCCAGTATGCTGTTTCATAAGTCGTTAACTAAAAATATCCAAGTTCACCATCGTTCTATTCTGAATTAGCCTTTTTATCAAATTTCAGATTCTCAGTTTTCTTTGCATTGTCTGAACAGATTACCCTAACCCCACAAGAGAGCCATGCAGAGCATCCAGAGGACCACCCACCCCACATAAGCAATAAAGTAATCAAATTAAAATAAAGTGACCAAATTAAAGCAGTCTTTTAAATTGGAAGGGGAAAAAACCCACAACATTCAATACCTCTTCGACGCCAGAAAGTTTTGCTTTAAGTTCTCTAATAGTGGAGTCTCCTTTATATTTTCTTTCGGTTAGGTCTTTATTAGTTGCTTCTAACTCAGACACTCTGTTTTGTAGCTGGTGGATGTTTTGTTGATGGAGAATTTCTAAATCTTTTTTCTGTTGTTCATGCTGCTGTTGATATTGAACCTGTGCCTATTATATAATAAAAACATAGTACCAAAATTCAAAGGAAAAAAATCAGAAATACAAATACAAAACCATTTTGGAAAAAACTGTAATTTCTTCTTTATAATTATTAGATGTCCCTGTTTTTAAAAGGGTCTATTTTCAATTATGAATTTCATGTAAGAGAAAGTAAGGTCAAGAAAGGCAAATTTACCACAATGATCTTGTTCATCACTTCTGCTTCTCCTAAACCTACATATGTTTAAAAGTAATAGTCATCAAGGGAAGAATGATATATGATTCAGTAAAAAAAGCAAACTGCAAAATAGTATATATAGTATGAATGTACTTGTGTTAAAAAAAAAATGAACAGGTATATAGAACTTTCAGTTTTTGCTTTAAACACTATTACAGTGTTTCCTTTTTTTACACTCAGTACATGTATATATTAATATGTTTTACAATGGAAAAATACCTAAAATTGTAAAATCAGCAATGTTTGTTCATCAGGCCAATCTCATATTTAGTTGTCACATTTTACCAACAATAAAATTTGAACATAATTATAACTGTGCAATCTCTAGTGCCTGTCTAAATCATACCACAAACCTATCTTAATAATTTCTGTTAATGAACACTATCAAATCATGAATACCTTTAAAAAATAGTCTATTTTTCTGATTATGAAAGTTAAACACACTTTGAAATAAAAAGAAAAAAAATTATACAGTGTATCTGTGTAACAAAAACATTTGTACCTCCTTAATATTTTGCAATAAAAAGAAAAAAAAGTTAAATATGCTCCTAAAGGCACAAAGGGAAATCACTAATAACCCATAATCCCATCCAGGGAGTTACTCCTAATATTTAGGAATATTTCTTTCCAGTCATTTATGCACTTACATTGACATCCCACATGCACACACAATATACATATTTAAATTTAATGAATTAAGATCAAGCTATTTATAAAATTTAATTATGATTTTTATTTCCTCAGCATTTGCATCATTTCACATCTTTAAAAAACTCTCTGTAAATATTTTCTTTTTTTTCTGTAAATACTTTAATAGCTGCATAACATTCCATTCCATGGTTACTCCATAATTCATTTAACTCCTGCCCAATTATGGACATTTTCTAATATTTCACAATTAAAAATAAAACTATGATTAATATTTTTGTACATATATGTACACCCAAAATTCGCATTATTTCTTTATGATCAATTACAGGTTAAAGAATATAAACAAATATAAAGCTTGATATAAGTTCCAGAACTGCATTCCAGAAAAGTTATATCCATTCAAAATTCTTAGCACTAGTACAGGAGAGTGTCTCTCTAATAAAATGCTTTGAGAATTTTACATTATTACTTCAGGAATTCCTTCATTTCTGGAAAATTGGAAAGGAGAGAGGAGAGGGGCAAAAAGAGATAAAACAGAAAAAAGGCTACATAAAATTGAAAAAATCTTGGCAAACACATTGAAGAAGAAAAATCAAGAAAAAGAAAAAACAGAGCAAACTGGTAAAGATGATAAAGACACTAACTAAAGGTAGAGGCGGCCAAAGGCAGTAAAAATAAAGAACTGGTTTTACCCTAGCAATTATTAGGATCCCAGGGATTTTTGTTTAAACAAGAAAGTGTGAGGGATAGGATTACAAAGTTTGCATTTTCTACTTTGTTCCTGTCTGAATCATCTGAATATTTTTAGAATAAATACATAAGAAAAATATTTCTACTCTGAAAGAAAAAATAATTTTTGAAGGGATAGTTTCAGAATTATAGCAAAATAATCAAGCCAAACAGAAAAGGGAGCATTGGTAGAGGTGGAAGCAATATTTGCCAAAAGAATATTCTACAGAGGCTTTAATCAAAAGAGCACACAGTAGTTTTAGAAGAACATTAGATGAAAATATTTGGAGGATGGATTTATAATGCTAAGAATTGGAAAATAAAGACTAATAGAAAATTCTATGAAAAAGAAAAGTGAATAAAACAGAGAAGTCAGGATCAAGAAAATAATACATAAAAGGAAGATGGGTGATTCTGCTTCTTGCCAGAACTTTCCTCACAGAAAATAAGCTGCTATAAAAAAGAGAAATCAATACAGAAATAATTAAGACTATTGAGTATATTTTTAAAAGCAGGGATATGATGAAAACACGCAAAATAAGTATAAACGTAAAGAAAAAATATGCACCAATCAAATTTGCCCTAACTTTTCAAATGCCCTAAAGATGGTACCATAGGTTTAATGTCCATTTGAGTAGAGAAGTGGCAAATGCAGAAATACAGTCATTATATTCTCCATGACACTTATGGAAATCATCAAAAATGGGAAGCAGTTTGCCTCGACAGATTTCTATATATAGTCATGAAATTGGTCTAATTTGGGAAACAGTACTCTATGGCAGTGGTTACCAAAGTTATCAGTATCACTTGGGAATCTATTAGAAAATCAAGTTCTTGGACTCTACCCCAGACCTAGAGAGACTCTGGGGATGGGGCCCAGCAACCTGTATTTTAATGGGCCCTCCAGGTGATTCCCATGCACATCGAAGTTTTACAACTACCATCCTATGGAATGTCTATCAGCAGGAAGAAAAGTGTTGGCCTGGCTTTAAACTCCCAAAAGACTGCTTGACGAACCTATTAAGAAAATGCAATGAGGGCTGGGCATGATGGCTCACATCTATAATCACAGCTACTCAGGAGGCTGAGGCAAGAGGATTGCTGAGGACAGGAGTTTGAGACCAGGCTGGGCAACATAGCAAGACCCTGTCTCTACAAAAAAATTTAAAAATTAGCCGGGTGTGGTGCTGCATGACTGTGGTCCCAGCTACTCGAGAGGCTGAGGTGGGAGGATGCATGAACTCAGGAGTTGGGAGGCAATAGTGAGCTATGATTACATCATTGCACTCCAGTCTGAGGGACAGAGTGAAATCTGTGTCTGAAAAAACAAAAAAACAAAAAGAAAAAAGCAAAAGGAAAATACAATAGGGAATGCAAACAAATCTTTTGGTCACTTTGGAGTTTTAAACAAATGGATTCAGAAAGGAACTTTTAGTACCTAACTTGTTTGAAAATCAAGCCTCCGAAAAGATAGTAAATAACAGAAATGAATAAAATGGGGGGGGGAGGAAGAGTACAAAAATTAATAAATAAAAAACTAGTTCTTCAAAAACACTAAAAAATAGTCAAACCATCTAGTCTCATAAAAAAGACAAAACAAATAAGAACATAAGAGAAATGACATGGAGATTTAAAAAACCGTAAGACAGTATGTATGACAGTGTACTAATACATTTAAATACATAGATGATAGCTGGGCACAGTGGCACGTACCTATGGTCCCAGCCACTTGGGAGGCTGAAGTAGGAGGACTGCTTGAGATATGGACTTCAAGTCTAACCTGGGCAACACAGCAAAACCTCATCTCAAAAATCTTTTTAGAAATCTTAAAAAATAAACAAACAGGCCAAGTGTGGTGGCTCATGTCTGTAATTCTATCACTTTTTAGGAGGCCGAGGTGGGAGGATCCCTTTAGGCCAGGAGTTCGAAACCAGCCTGAACAAGAGCAAGTCCCCATCTTTACTAAAAATAGAAAAATTAGCTTGGTGTGGTGATACATGTCTGTACTCCCAGCTACTCAGGAGGGTGAGGCAGGAGGATCGCTTGAGCCCAGAAGTTAGAGGTTGCTGTGAGTAAGCTGACGCCACTGCACTCTAGCCTGGGTGACAGAGTGAGACACTGTCTCAAAAATAAATAATAAATAGACAAAGGCAAACCTTCCCCCAAAGTCCAAGGAAGCTGAGAGGCCAGAGAAAAAGGCTGACACACCCATTTCTCAGAAAGAAACATTTAATAGGGACTTATGAACAGAAGCTGTGTCTCTGGTGGAGGAAAGACAGGATGGTGGATCCCAGACCCAGGATCATACACCATAGGGATGGGATGGGTAGGACAATTGAAGTCAACTCTCTCAGGGAGAGGAAAGAATGCTATGTGAATCTGCCTCAGGGCAGGATGTACAGTAACAGTAGATAAAGTGGAGATCTAGATGCATTCTAAGAACAGAGGTTAATCAGAAGTTAACGTGGTGGATTAGCATCCAAGATGGAGTTGCTTTAGCCTCTACAATGAAATACATGGCTTTCTAAGGAAATGCAAATTAACAAAACTCAAGAAAAAATTGAAAATTCAAACAGATCCATAACCATGGAGGAAATGGTAAAAGAACTTAAAGACAAATGCCTCAAATGTGTGTCAGATCCAAATGGTGTTAAAAGCCTAATTGCATCAGGCCTTCAAAGAATAGATAATTCCTTGTTATTGCACTGTTTCAAAGCACAGAGAAAAGTGAAAAATGTTTTCATTCAACTCACGAGACTAGTATAATTCTATAACCCATAATTGTAATAAGCAGACTAAGATAAGGAGACAAGGGCAATCTTAGACCAATGTCACTTGTGAATATAAATACAAACATCCTAAATTAAATATTAGCAAATTGATCCAATAGGATATTAAAAATCCCTAGGACTATTTAAGCATTATTTGATGATTTCAAAGATGATTCCATATCTGGAAATCTATTGTTATAATCTATTAAACTATTAAAGAAGAAAAATGATTTAATTATTTGGTTAGATCCCCCAAAAATCATCTCATCTGACTTAGCATTCTTTGGATTAAAACTCTCCGGAAGCAAGGAATAGTAGAAAACTTTCTCTCTCAAATGCAGAGAAAACATCATACTTAATGATGAGATATTTTAGTCATTTACCAAAAAAGACTGGAACAAGATAAGGATTCCACTATTATTCAACACTTTTCTGTACAAGAAAAAAAAGGACACAAATCTTAGGAAGAAACAAATTACTATTTTTTTGACTTATACATCTACTTGGAAAACCTAAGAAACTACAAAACAATTAGAAATAATATGTAAATTTAGTAATGTGGCTGGATATGGTATTAATATATACTTGCAACAAACAATTATAAATTTAACCACAGTGGTGGAGGCAGGGGAGTGGATGGTCTGTCCCATTTATAGAGCAAAAATCTGTAAAATTCCTAGACAAAACATTGTTTAACAAAACCATAAAAGAAAAACAGAGAAGGAAGGAGGTAGGGAGAGAAATAAAGAGTAAATAAGCCTATTTTAAAGAAACACAACCTGAATAAATGAAGAGATATCTCTCTCCACTCAATGAGGAAACTCTAAAGATACCAGTTCTTAACAACAGTCCAGAGATAAGCCCAAGTACATAAAGGAATTTAGTATATAATAAAGATAGTATTTTAAATCTTTGGGGGAATATGGTATTGGAACAAATGACTAAATGTCCAAAAATATCTACCTTATATTGTACTCTACAAAAATATATTCCAAATAGATTAAAGAGCTAACCATAGCAAGAAAATTATAAAAATAACTAGAGTATTAGAGAATATATTTCATAACCTTGGGGTGGTAAAAGCTTTCCATACACAAAATGAAACCTTAAACCATAAAGGCAATGACTGACAGATTCGATGACATTCAAACAAGTAGTAGTACGTACGGCAAAAGACACTGGCAAATGGCAAATGATAGGCTGGGAAAAATGCTTATAATACACATGATAGATAAGGTGTAATACCCTTACTTTATACCATTAAGAAATGAAAAGGCAAGCCATAGACAGAAAATATTCCCAATGCGCATATCTGAAAAAGGACTCATGTCTACAATATACAAATAAGTCCTACAAATCAATGAGAAAAATATTAATAGGCCAATTTAAACATGGTCTAATGACTTGAATGGGCACTTCACAAGAGAATATTCAAGTGATCGATATGTATATGAAAAAGTGTTCATTATAATGAGATATTATTACAAACCCACAGAATGGCAGCGTAAACTTGCATACCCACTTTGGGAAACTGTTCAGTGGTTTCTACTAAAGCTAAATATACACCTATACTAGAATCCAGCCTAATACTAATATATACCCAAGAAAAATGAGTGCATGTGTCCACAAGTAAACATGTACAAGAATGTTCATGGCGATTTAATTAATAATAGCAAAATAACAGAAATAACTCAAATGCCTACTGACAGGAAAACAGATATATTATGGTATATTCATATAATAGGATACTACACAATAAAAAGAAACACACTAGAACATAATTGAATTTCAGAAATATTATGCTGTGTGAAGGAAGCTACATAAAACACATATTGTATGATTCCACTTGAACAAAATTCAAAACCAGGCAAAACTCATCAATGATGATAAAAGGCAGAAGTATAATAATCTCCTGTGGGAATATTACATGGATAAAGGAAAGCACACAAGGGAACCTACAGAGGTGGTCAAATTTTCTGAATCATAATTTGGGTGAAGCTACACATAAAAAAATCATCATGCTGTACTGTTAGGAGCAAAAATCTGGTAAAATACATAAAAAAATAAAATTTAATATTAAAGAAGCTGTAATATAAAAGGTAAAAAAAAAAAAAAAATCCATACTACAAAGCAGTAGGAAATGACCACACAGAAAGAAGGAGCAAAAAATATTAAAAAGTAATCCACAGAAGAAACAAAAATGGTCAAAAGTCATATTAAAAGATGTTTATCTTCACTAAAAATAAAAGCAATATAAGTTAAAACAAGTATTACCTTACCACCTCTCAGGTGGCAAATATTAAGAAGGTTAATAATAATGTCAAGAACATGGGGAAATAAGTATCCTCACACAGTATCTTTGGGATTGGATTCCATTTGATTCAACCTTTTTGGGCAAAAACTGCGCAGTATCCATCAACATTTTATATAGATACATTGCAATTTCACTTCTAGAGACAAAGAACATTCATTGCAGTATTGTTTGCAAGAAACATTCATTGCAGTATTGTTTGCAATAACCAAAATTTTGGGTAAGTACTTAAATAATTAAGTTATATCCAAACAATGGATACTATGTAGCCACTAAAAAGGAGTATCTGAACTGATACAGAATGATATCTATGATGTCATGTTAACTGAAAAAAAAAGTTATAATCAATATATCCAATAAGACCCCATTAGTATAGAACAAAACCAAAACCTACTATATGTGTACATATATGTCTATCTAAATTATAATTTAAATGATATATATTTATAATTATATAAGTTTATAAACAAATGTTATAAATTACATATGATTTACATATAGAGAAAAGTCTGAAAAACACACATGAAAATGTTTATTCAAAGACCATACTTTCAGGGATGGTTTCTATAAGTTTGTTATTAGAGAAGTTTCTCTAGTACAACCTACAAAAGTTTCTCTATCTACACGTTTCTAGGTTGAACATGTAGAAAAGTTAAAAAAATAATACATTAAAAGAATGTTTATAGGTTATCTCTGAGTAGTAAGACTTTGAAAGAAAGACTTTCAATTTTTATTTTATATACTTCTGTAATATTTGAAAAATTTAAAGCAAAAATACATCAATTTTAAAATTAACAAAATGGCCAACAGTAATAAAAAATATTTTTTCAGTTTCCTTTAACATTCTTACCTGCAAGGCTTTTTCCTTCTCGTTTGTTAGTTCCTGAGAGTGCTTATTTGTCAATGCTGCTGTGTGTGATGCCCATTCGTTCCGTAACTTATCTAATTCTTGGATTTTTTCTGATAATGTCTATAACAGAGTTCAATATAAAATATTAACACAGTCTCCTGAATAGGTTATAATTCTGATTATAACATAGCAATATTTACAAGGCTATTAAAGAAAACAAAATTACAGCTCTTCAGGACATACCAAAAGCCTTCTCCTACACAGATTTTTGAATTTGAGAAAATCAAGATTAGAATAAAAACAATCTTAGGTGAAGCTTAACTATCTTTAAGCTTTTAGTTAAATCTGGCTCTTTACCACCAAATCCTCTCCTCTGGCATTAAGAAATAACACAACTCAGGATGGAGCAAGTCAGTTATAAGGAGTAGTTCACTTATTATACATAAAACCCAGTAAGTAACAAAGTCCCCAAAAGGGCCATGTTGTACAGGGATATTTTCTGCCTGAAGCCATGCAGCTTATCAGACACTTTAGCCTGCAATTTCAAGGTCTAAGGGCAGAAATATGGTAGCTATGACTGAAATGATGCTCAGCCTATCAGAGGAATTAATTCTAAATATAAAAGAAGGAAGGGAAAGGTTTAGAAGATAGGAAATGAAAAGCCATTTTAGGCTGGAGGAATGAGGTGAGTAAAAGGAGAGTAGAGAACTAATATATGACAGACACTATACATTATCTTATTTCCTGAAGACTCGGAGGGAATATATCATAGATCGAAGATAACAGAAATGTTTGGGTGGAATAAAACATCTATTAATAAAAGAAAAAGCATGAGATTAAGATAATTAACTGGCAGGTAAAAGGTGATAAAATGGAGAGGAAATTCAATGGTGGCATGTTTTTACAGAAAATTACACAAAAGCTTGGAATTGAGTCAAAAAGTCAGAGCCAATGTCTGGATGAGTTACAAAAACAATGAAATATTAATTACCTTTTGTGTGAAGTTCAGTTGCCTAGTGACATCATCTAATGATTGTGTCAATGACAATTTTTCTTCCTATTTATAAAAATAATAAAATGCAATTTACAATTTAATCATCTGTAGCTGTGCTACCCACAGTGTACCAAGATATAGTATGAGCATCATCCTGGAAGCTTGTTAGAAATGCAGAATCTCAGGCGCCATCTCAGATCTTCTAAATCAGAATTTACATTTTTAAGAAGATCCCCAGATAACCTGTGTACCATTAAAGTTTGAGATGCACTGAGCATTTGACTAAAAAGACTTTCTAAAAACTCTTAAGCAGCATCTCTATGTTGTTTCCTTGTGCTATATACCTTACATACCACTTTGTAATTTTGAAGACACTTTCATATATTTTATGTCATTTAAGATGGCCTAGATAGGGTAGATATTTCCACACATATCTACCAGTTGATGAAACCACGATACAAGACTTTAAGTGACCTGCCTAAAGTCACAGAAAATTAGTAACAACCCTGCGACCTAAGTTTCTCAATTCCTGCTCCAATTCTCTCCTTGTTATACCTTAACTAAATGAAAAACAATAAAATAAAATAAATTCACTACATGTTATGAAACTTTATTTAGAAAACAAAAACTTATGGCAATATAACTCTTCAGTGATGTAGTGAAGACATTTGTTACTTATTTTAAAAGAATAACAAATTTAAATCTTACCTTGCTACATTTCAAACAGCCTGCTAGAAATTTCTTTATCTCCACATCATTTCCAGGTAAAAGTTTTAGTGAGAGGTGTGTAAGATGCTTAAAAGGATTTGTTTCTACCACATTTAAAAATACAGGTGAGTTATCCAAAATAGCTGCTGGAGAAACTAACTGTAGTAAAAACCTTTGAAAAGAAATATTGCATTATAACACATTTATGAAATTGTGAAACTGTCTCATTGAATCATAAGCTCCACTACTTGGAAAAATCAGGAAAGGGCACATATTGAAAACATAGGGGCCAATATGAAGGACTTCCAATGGTAAAAGACAAGATAAATTGGGCAAAAAACAGAAAAAAGATTGATTGAAACACAGTAAATATATAAAAGTCCATAAGTTCATAATAAGAGACAAATGAGAGAGAAAGCAAAAATTAAAAACAAAAACTCATTGAACACCACAGAAGTAACTGGAGTACCAGCTTAACTCTAAAAATTGACAATTTAAAAGCAAAATTAAGCATTTATCCTTTCCTACATGACTTTTCAGAGTAATTAAATAGCCCCAATTGATGAGGGAAAGTTCTTCTTTATGGAAGAATTACGCTTAAATAAATATGGGAAGTGACAGATTTGGAAAAGAATATTTTTTAAAAATTTTACTTTATTATTTCTTTATTTTTATTTATTTAGAGACAGGGTCTCACTGTCACTGAGGCTGAAGTGCAGTGGCACCAACACAGCTCACTACAGCCTTGAACTCCTGGGCTCAAGCCTCCCATGTAGCTGGGACTACAGGCACACGCCACCACCACATCCAGCTTAGAAAAGCATCATTTTGTAGTTCCTAATGAAATAATTGATTCAACAACAATCATGAAACCAATAAATAAAAGTTGATGGTAAACTTTACAATGACATGATAAGGCACCACATACACACACACACACAAAATCTTATTCTTCTCCTTTTCCCAGATCATTATAAAAACAGATACTTGATGTGTTAAATAGTTCAAATAACTTTAGTGGCTATGTCAAAACATGAAAATTAAGAGGTAAGTATTTCTGATTTTAATCAAGATTCTTTAAAGTCTGAGATTTAATGAAGCCCTAATTCCAGTTTTAAAAATAAACAGGTGTACTTATAATACATGGAAAATATTTTGCCATCAACTTATCTTTTGAAGAATATGTCTTGAAAGAAGTTTAATAATGTAGCGTTCTTATGTGACTTACCTTGGAATTTCTTTGGTGTGTTCTTGAGTACACTGCTGAAGGAGATCTATAAATTTTTGTGGGAAAGCTAAGAAGTCTACCAGAAGACCTTGCTGGAATTTTAAGCTATACAGAAGACAGGAAGAGAAATTTTTTAAAAATGTAATTACTTCAAATTTAATTATCTTTAATTATAATTAACACTCTGAAAGATTTTTTTTTATTCACTGAACATCTATCATAATCAAGAACTAAGTTAGGGAACTTTGATTTTTATAAAACTTATTCAATGAGAGGAAAAAGGTCAATACATTTAGCTAAAGCTCTAAATTTCTGAGTTGTTTTAGGCAGAATTCTGATAATCCATATTTATTTTCAAAAATACCCTAATTACAGTACAAATAGTCCAATATTCTCCAAAATAACTAAATGTTCCTAATAGGTATGTGTTTCAAAGAGAACAGTGCCAATACATTCATAAAACTTAGAAATTTACTTATTCCTAGATTAAATATAAGATGAGAAAAAAAATTAGTTACCTTTGAAAATCTTCCTCAGATATAACAAGGTTATATAGAAAAAATGGATCCATGTCATCAGTCAGACGGATAACTAAGTCCTAAAAGAAAGTTTGTTGTTTTTTAATGTTTTCAGCAGATTTGGCTTTTAGAGTAATTTCTTTCTTCTTGGAAGTAAAATGATCCAATAACATCAATGTATCAGAGTTTATACTTCAGATAGCTTTGTGTTCTGATGCTGCTGTTTTTATTAGTCTTTAGAGAGCTAGAATCTTAAATGGGGGTAGATATTCTGCTCCTTGAGAGCCACACGGAGGTCTGTAGAAGTTAATTAAATGCTAAGAGTTGAAGGCTTAAGAAAATTTAGACCCAGTCCCTTGCTGACACAATGACAAAAACATTCTATATGTATGAATATACCATTCAATTATATTTTCAGTTTCCCTCAAGTTAACTGGTGTGGCCTCTCGAAAGTGGCAAACATATTAGCAGAACTGACAAACAATCATCCATCCAGGAAAAAAAAGGAGCTTTTGTCTGTCAGGCAGAGGACAGGGGTGTCAGGTGACAGGTTGCCAGCGCTGCTTCCGAAGAGCCTATTCTCTCCTACTCCAGGTGGCCACTGATATGGAACCCCATCTGTTTTCAGTCTCAAATGAAGTGGGTACCTTTCATAAAAAAAGTTTCCAGGTAGTTACATTTATAGTGTGGCAGATCATCATAGCAGCTAAAGTTGGCAAAAAGTACGCCAAAATTACGTACTTCAGAGAACACTGGTGCAAGGAAAACAGGGTATAGCTACAAGATGACATAAGACTAATAAAGAACTAAGCATTCAGGTTAAGAATAACCTGAATTTTATTTCATAAAATTCTACTCATTGCTAAATAAAATAAATCTACTCATTGCTACTGAGGAACTCCTAAGGTCCTAGAAAAATCTAAACCACCTATGAGTATAGCTAGAAAATGAAGAGGTACAGCAGGCATGAGGAATAACATGTAAAAAGTATGGGGAAATTAGCAATCTGGGTATTTGCTCTGCCTCAGAATGCCTTGTTCTTATGCAGCTTCTATTTAAGTATTTCTTGAAATTCACCCCAGTATGCTATTAAAAAAACTAAATCTACTACTACTATTAGGTCCCTGAATATGTTCAGGGAAAGCTATGATACAGAGAAAACATGCTGTATTTCTTAGCTGTCTATTCTGTATCCTTCATTCTGTTAATGACTCATACTTTTTAACATCATATGGGACTGATGATTTAAATGCCTCTCTTCAAAAGGTAAAGTAAAACATTCAAGAAAATCTCCCTGCAGTACTCCAATTTATTCTGTTCGCATATTTACAACAAGAAATGCCAATTCTATAAGGCAGCAATATATGTGTATATTCCAGCAACTTTTTTTTGAGATAGGGTCTTACAAAATCAGGCTGGTTTTGAACTCCTGACCTTAAGTGATCCTCCTGCCTCAGCCTCCCAAATAGCTGGGATTACAGATGAGAGCCACCACACCCAGCTCCTCTAGCAACTTTTAAGTACACCGGGCAAACCTAAGGAGACTGTCACCTGAAATTCTTCTTGTACGCTTTAGAAATATATGGTATAATTATCTTTTAGTTGTTAAGTAGATTCCACCACCCTAGATTTGCAACAGTTACAAAATGGTCCAAAACTATAAAGTAAGATGGGTGTAACAAAACCATATTCTTTTTTTTTTTTTTTTTTTTTTTTGAGATGAGACAAGGTTTCACTCTGTTGCCCGGGCTCGAGTGCCATGGTATCTTCATAGCTCACTGCAACCTCAAACTCCTGGGCTCAAGCAATCCTCCAGTCTCAGCCTCCTGAGTAGCTGGGACTACAGGCACACACCACTATGAGCAGCTAATTTTTTTTATTTTTTGTAAAGAAAGGGTCTTGCTCATGCTCAGTCTGGTCTTGAACTCCTGGCCTCAAGCGATCCTCTGGCTTCAGCCTCCCAAAGTGCTAGGATTACAGGAGTGAGCCACCGTGCCCAGCCAGATGTCAGACTCTTAAAAAACAAAAATAATTTTCTATAATGTACAGAAATTATATTTCAATAAAGAAATAAATACCAACCTTTCTGTGAACTGGATTAGAAACTGATTGTAGTTCAACGCTCACTCTAACACTTACTCTCCTGTATGAAAAGATATGTCCAGCTATCAGAAACATTCATATGAAATGAGTTATCACTATCATTTGCGTTAATTAAAGTTTTCAGTCTTAAGCTACTAGACTTTCCACAGGTGTTCTCTAACTTAACAGATGTTTGGAAAGCACACTGGATTTGACATTTAAGTTCTCATTTTTCCACTAGTAAGTAATGTAGCAGTTTTTAACCTCAGGCTAAATTTTTCTCATCTGTAAAATGGGGATCTTGTGAGGATCAAATGAGATAAATGATAAATGATGTGGAGTGCCTAGTACTAGCCTGGTATATAACATTACTGCCCTGCTTCTAAAATAACATCCATTGAAAGATAAACCATCAATTTAGTAACAACTTTTCACATTAAAAAAAATTACCATTTCAAGTGATCAAACTGATTTATGAGAGATTCCATTTTAAAACTTAAAATATTAAGTAATGTTGGAATGCTTAGAATGTTTAAAATCAAGGAAATAACATATTCCCTACACTTATGCATATACAAAATGTTTTTTCAGATCCACAAACTAAATTTGCTCAATATATTCTCTATGCAACATATCCACAGAAGTACTGTCAACAAGTTTATTATTATCTATCTTAGCCTAGAGTAACTGTAAGCCCTGACAGGAAGAGACCACAGTGTTCCATATTCTATACTGCATCTTAGAGTATCAAGAATTGAATAGAGGCATGTAAATAAAGGTGTTCATAAATTTTGCTCAATTAATCAAAGTAAGCAAAAATGCTTAAATAATTCAGAAAATGCAAGGAAAACTTAGTGAGAAACATCTATGCACGAGTGGCTCTCAAACTATTCTGCTAGAATTAAAAAACAATGTTCTTTGACGTGCAGGTAAAAAAAGTAAACAAACAGAATTTGTTCAATTTTAAGCTATTCCTCTAAAGATTTAAACCTTTTCCACACTTTACTACGTACTACAGAAGTAAAGAGTACAGACATAGCAACTGAGTATTGATAGAAAAACTTAGAAACAATTGACCAAGGCTAGATTCAACTGTTTAGATTTTTTTTAAACTCTGACCTATAAATTTATATTAGTTTAAAATGTGTCATCTTAGTTAAATTTCTTGTTGAACATGATTGGATGCTAAATCTTAGTTCAAATGATGAGGTTAAATGTTACCATAACTTGTATCTGTTACCTGAAAAGGAACAAAAAGAGCTGGTCTATATCACAAAGAGAGGAAGAACTATTTTAAAAACAAGAGAATGTGTTGTTTCTATTTTTCTAGTATCTAGAGCAATGTATGTGAAACAGATTACAGTCCTACTCCAATTCCCCTTAAATTAAGCTTTCTTGAGGGAGAAATGCCTCAATTTCCTAATTTGGAAGATAAGTGAATTCAATCAGGTTTGTGAAGGACTACAATGCCATTATGTTTGGTTTTGATCTTTTGAAGTATTTTCTTGTTTATACTGATATAGTGGTATGATACTGCAGTTGATACCTAACTTTATATGGTGTTTCAGTTTTAAAAGCCCTATCATACTTCATACATTTATAAAAAATTCAAGAAGCATCTGTTTAATAAAGTATTTACATAATTCTATTAGAGTTATAGTACTATGATAATTTACCAATCATATTAATTATATTGTATATATTCCAAATGCCTATATGCACTAAACGTTAGGAGAAAAAAGAAAGGTCCACAAATTAAACGTATTCCCCAACTTTATTTCAAAAACACCTCTAGAAATATAGAAAAATATGAGTTTTCAAGGGCTATACTGTTTGAAATCACAAATCTTATTTTTTCCATTATAATGGTTAATGTCATAAGAGCAATATAAAATCAATAAAAAAAATCAATAAAAGATGTTATCTCTCATCTCATAAATGTCACACTCTGAACGATGCATAAATCTACATAATATCCTCCCTGTAAGATTTTGCTAGGTGTTCTTTTAAATAAAAAGTATTTTAAACATTGGGCATTAGCAGAACTAGATTCTAGCCCACCTCTGCCACCCAGTAGCTGTGACCTTAAACTCTCAATTCAAATAAATAAAAGCTACTCTAAGCCAGGTACTGTGGTGGGTGCTAGGGATACAAACAGAAATAAACATGGTCCATGTTCTCCAATTGAGATCAGATTAAATGACTTTTCCCTGGATTTGCTTCTGATTGTACTAAGTGCTTCAAGAGAAGGGAGGGAAGGGTTACTAACACTGAACACCTACACTACTGAGTACCTGCCAGGTACTTTACATATATCAACTTATTTAACAATAGTCTTGTTAAGTAAATATTACCTCTTTTACAAAGAAAGAACCTGAGGCTCACAGAGTTACATACTTGTCTAAGGTCACATTGCAGAGCTCAAACCAGAACTTAAATCTTTCACCTACACCACTCTAATAAATGAATAAAGGCAATTAATTTAAACAGGCAACTTTGAAGGGTCCTTATAGTGAAGCAATTTAAGACACACCTTGAAGGTTATGAAAGAAAAAGCATTTGAGGCAGAGGGAACAGCAGTAGTAAAGATATGGTACAGAGAGAGTATCAGATACATTCCGAAGATAACAAGAATTCTTGTGTGACTAGTATATTGGAGAGACAAGCTTAGGAAACAACACTGAAAAATCAGGTTAGTGTCAAATCATAGATTTCAAAATTCTGCATTACTTTTCTCCAGATAGAGTTTCTTGGTCATTACTACTGTCCTCAAGTGAATTTCTTTCTCTATGACCTTAGTATACTTCCATTACTTTATGCATTAATTATACTTTATTAATAGCTAAAGTTTAGTGAATGCTTATGATGCTCTAGGCACTATTCTAAGCACTTTATTTGTATTAACTCATTGCATTCTCATAATAATTCCCTGAGGTACGTACTGTTATCAATTTAAAGATGAGACACAGAGAAGTTAAGTAAATGGTACAAGATCAGTCAATAAGTGGCAGAACTGGGATTTAAAACCAGGTGATCTGGTTCCAGAGCCTGAACTCTCAACCTGTGCCATGCTGCCTCTCCAAGGAAAATCTTTTTATTTCCTCTATTAAAGTGTGAATTGCTTGAGAGCCAGAATAATAATAGGTTTTTGTTGAAGGTTAGGGGAAGTTTTATACCCTCAGCACCTAGGACAGTTTCTGGTATACAGTAGGTATTTGTCGAACTGAACTGGCTTTGAATACTCAACTAAAGAGTATGGGTTGTTCTTCCTATAGGTAGGGTACAGCAAATCATTCTGTAAAAGGCCAGATGGTAAACAGTAAATATCTCAGGCTTTGCAGACCATAATGTCTCTGTCACAATTACTCATCTCTGCCCTTATTATGCAAAAGCAGCCACAAACAATTCATAAACAAATGAGTAGGGCTATGTTCCAACAAAAGTTTATTTACAAAAACAAACAGTGGGCCATTTGACCCATGTGCTCTAGTTTATTGACCCCTGCTATAGGTGATAGGAATCTATGAAAGGTTTCTAAAGAAGAGGAAGGAAAAAGTTGAAATTGTGTTTTAAGATTAACTGTGATGACAATGTAATGAGATGAAGAAAAGCTAGGACTTTCAATATTGGAATCAGAAGTGATGGCCCCCACTGTTCATTCTAGAACAGCGTTGCCCAATAGAGATACAATGGAGACCACAAATGTGAGCCATGTATGTAATTCTAAATTTTCTAGAAGTCACATTAAAAAATTTTAAAAAACAGATAAAATTAATTTTAATAATATATTTTATTTATCAAATATACCCAAAATATTGTCTTTTTAACACATAATATAAAAATTATTGAGATTTTTATATTTTTTTTTCATAAGAAGTCTTCAAAATCCAATGTGCATTTTACACTTACAGCACATCAATTCCAATTAGCCCCATTGCAAATACCTAATAAGCACATGTGGCTAGTGGCTACCATACTGGACAGCACGAAAGAATGACCAACCTAAATAACATACAGATCTCCACATACAGCTGCTGGTTTTGGTACCATCTCCTTGCCTGGCTTGCCATTGATCTTGGACCTAATTCTGAACTATGTATATTACAGTTTCACACATTACTGGCAACTCAATAAGGCAATATTTTCATTTTTTATGTTACATTTCCACATCATTTAGTTTTTACATACATGTTCGCACTTGATCCTCATTACAATCATGTGGGTAGGCATGTTATAACAGTATTACAAATGAGGAAACAACGTTCGGAGAAAAAAAGATACAGCTATTGAGTGGTGGAACTGAGAAAAAAGGTAAATCTCCTGATCCAGTCAAATCTATTTAAGTCCCAATAGCACAACCTCCTTAGTCAAAGTTACAACGCTGCATTTAACTATGAGACTGGCCTTTATTTCATCCAAGACTGTAAACTCCATGAAGAAAAGGACTGTTTTTCCCGACCAATGTATTCCCAGTGCCCAGCACGGTGTTTAACAAGAAGGCAATATTTACTGAATGAATTAACTAAATTTCTGATTTTCTCAGTTTTAGTGGGTTAAATGTAATTTACTTTTTTTTAGGAACTAATATGAAAAAGAGCAAGCATCAAGTTGATTTTTCAAGTTGAAATTTAAATTTACTTTCAACACACTTTAAAGGAGTACGGGGGAAAAAAGGCTGGGAGCCATGGCCTGAGTGCTAGTGCTGACTCAGCCGTGAACTCGCTGTGAGCCCTCAAATAAATCATTTAACTTCTCTGGACCAGAGTTCTTAGCTCTCTAAAGTGAAGAGTCTATCATCCCCACGATTCCGTTCAGAGCTAGGATTTTTGACATTAACTTGATGTGAGTCGGCTTCCCATTTCCTCACACCTTTCCTTCGGTCCCCTCTGCAACTACCGACTTGGTGAAGGAGGTAACTGCTAGGTCCCAGCTGGGTTCCCTATGCGCGTCCTGGGGGGCCGGCTGGACACCCAAACGTAGGCCGGTGCCCACTGGCCGGAACCGCCATCTTCTCCCATTGGCCTCACTACAACCGCCACCCGCGGGCACCCGGGGACGCGAACCTCACCTCTCTTCGCAGTCTTTGCATTTCACCTGCAACGGGACTAGTTGCTGGAGTAGAACTTGGCTCATACTGGCCCGCTGCCCCGGCCGCTGTGCGGAACAGGCTCGGCCCTCGGTACTAGCCTGAAAGACTTACGGGTCCGGATAGAGTTTGAGTTTGGCGCTCGGCTCCCGCGGAGGAGGCGGGGAGAGAGAGAGAAAAACGGAGGGAAGACGAAGGAAGTTTGGGCTTCGCCAGCCACCATCAACTTCTTCCGGTTTTGCGGAGGATGGGATGAAGGCGGGTCGGTAGTTCCGGACATTAACCTATGTGGCGGGATCCGAGGTAGCCATGTTTGTTAAGGGAAGGGGACCCGAAGGAAGCTGACAACTTTTCTTCTGGTTGCCCGATGCTCGCCACCTGAAGCGGGCCTTGAATTATGGCGGCTTCTGGGCCGATGCCGCACGCGACTGGTTTTCCAGCTGAGGGTAGATGCAGTTATTATGTGGAAAAGAAGAAGCGGTTCTGCAGGATGGTGGTGGCTGCAGGGAAAAGGTTCTGTGGTGAACACGCTGGAGCCGCGGAGGTCTGGTATCGCCCTACCCTCTCGAGAGTCGGAAATAAGTTTCTTGGTGCGGTCGGTGCTGGAACCCGACCCCTCCCCTCTTTAACAGGTTTCTGCTTCTGTCCCCTGGATTCTCCAGCTTTTACTTTAATAAATACAGTTTTGCCCTCCTTGCGGAGCAATGATGAGCCCTACTGATCAACAGTGTTTTGTTTTACTAAGTAAAGCGCCGGCAGTGACCCATTTATCTTGATCCTAATTCATGGTAATGGTAAATTTTAGTTATATTCCAAGCTGCCTCTGCTTACACTCCGCTCACCTTCCGCCTTCCTGATGGGAAGTGGTAGTTAAAGCAGTGATTGAAGTCCCCGGGTTTCACTACTTGTGTTCTAATTATTGTTTTCTGAATGAGAATCACTTGTGAATGCGGTTGAAAGAAACTTTCTTTAAAAATTAGACTTAACAGCCTGTAAGACGCAACTTATAACTATTTGCTGGAATGGGGAAGGAAGGATTAAAAATATCTAAGAATTGACCTTTTAAAATTGAGAACAGAAAACATGCAATTTTGTTTGATAATAGTTATGCATATAATTGTACAACCAAACACTACATATTTGTGTATACGTATATTACTTTAGGAAATATAGTAAAGTAAAAATAAAAACAAGAGGAGCAGAATGCTTGTAGAAAAAGAACATGTCTAATAGCATTAGAAAGAATAAACCAAACAGACCAGCATCTGGTTTCATGCCTTCTGAATATCCAGTATTATTTGCATTATTTTCTTTCTTAATCAGTTTATTCTTCTAGGCAATATCCAGTGCCAGTCAGTCCCCTGAGCCCTTTCATCTGCTACTGTCAATTGTAGCCATAGCCTACTTTCTATTTTGCCTTGACTGATATTTACCAAGAGGTGAAGCATAATGAAACAAGGAAGTTCTTGTTTTGGAATATGGGAGATGTGACTTATTGTGGTTACTCTTTGAAGTATACCCACAGTTGTGTTGACTGGCTTTTAGGGGACAAGCAAACATCTCTTGGTTGAAGAATGAGATTTATGATAGAAGAAGGATTTTGTTCCCATCTGTTACAAGGCCTTAGATTTCAACTTATCCAGACATCTGGAAGGTGAATGCAGATGGTGATAGTAGTAGAATGTGAATAAATCCTTACAAGCTGATCAGTATTCCTAGAGAGGAATGACAGTTCTTTGAAGAAAGACTGCAAAACACCAAGTGGAAACACTTTTCATAACTATGATTTGGTTGTGAATTACAGCCATCCTCTTGAATCTGTAATTTATGATGTAATTGTATATTGTGTTTCCATCTTTTTTAAGTGTCATATATAGCTATGAGACACCACTTTTATTCATTTTTACCAAGTTGTTCTCACCTGGGGGTGATTTTGCCGCCCAGTGGATACATCTGAAGACATTTTGGTTGTCACAACTGGAGAGTATTACTGGCATCTAATGGGTAGAAACCAAAGGTGCTGCTAAACCTCCTACAAAGCACAGGACATCCCCGACACCCCCACCTCAAAAAAAGAATTATCCAGCTCCAAACATCAATAATGTCAAGATTAAGTAACCCTATTTCTAAATCCAAATAATAAATGTGTTTTTTTTCCTACTCTACAGTTAGGCTTTGGGGGCTAAAATAATCTTCTCTTACATGGAGGTTAGGTTTTAAAGTCAGCAAATAAGGAAGAAATAATGTACAGTATTTTCAAAAAAGTATGGAAGATTTCTTAGCTTTTCCATGAAATTCAGTGTGCATACCTTCATGGACATGCTGAGAGGCACATCAGAATTGAAATAAATTATAGTAACAGCAAACACTTAGCATTACTTCATGGTCAGCACTGTTCTGGGCAGTTTGGGGTTTCTTTTTTTGTTTGTTTGTTTTTTTAACTATTAGATCACTTAATTTTCACAAGCCTTAGGAGGTAAGATATTATTGTTCTCATCTTTTAAATGAGGCAGTAAGCCTACCTAAGGTTATAGGACTAGTAGCTGACAGAGCTGGGTATCATACCAAGGCAGTCTGGCTAGCCTATGGTTTTAACAATTATACTATCCCGTTTCATGCAAATTTATTTGGAATGTTGGGTAGAATTGCCAACACTATTAATTTTTCTTTCTTTATTCTTAGTGCATATTACAGTCATGTGCCACATAACATTTTAGTCAATGACAAACTGCATATATGATGGTGGTCCCATAAGATAATAATACCATATTTTTACTTTGCCTTTTCTGTGTTTAGACATACAAATACTTATCATTGTGTTACAATTGCCTACAGTATTCAGTACAGTAATATGTGCTACAGGTTTGTAGTGTATGAGCAATAGACTGTACCATATAGCCTAGATGTACAGTAGACTGTACCATCTGGGTTTGTATAAGTATGCTCTATGATGTTCTCATAACAACGAAATCACCTAAAGAGGTGTTTCTCAGAACATAACCCCATCATTAAGCAATGCATGGCTATAGTTAAATCCATGTTACTTAGTAATGAACAGGTTAGAATTACTATACTGAAAAGTTGCAAAGCCAATAAAATGTGGCACATACCAAATGGTTAAATGCCGTGTTTTATTTTTCTAAGAAACTTTTGAAAATATGTGTTAACATCTCTAAAATCAGGAAGCATCTTAAAATCCGTATGCCATCATTTAAATGGGCAGCACTTACCACAAAAAAATGCTAAGTATTTGAGATAATGCATATTTATTTAGTTCAATTTAGCCATTCCACAATGTATACGTGTTTTAAAACATGTTGTGCATGATAAATATATACCATTTTTATTTGTCAATTAAAGTAATATAAAATAGCATTGTTTCTTTCTTGGTAATGCATAAAATAGTAGTGTATATCATAATCAATGCTATCTTCGATTCTAAATTTCATATGTAGGCCTTATCTAAACCTATGCGAAGCTATAGACCCTTGTTTGTCCAAAGCAATATTTGTTCATATATACATAAGCTAACTACACTAGAGATTTTTTGTTGTTAAACCCTTATGACCTGATTTTACCAATGTTTTTATTATGTCCTTTTAAGGTTTCCTAATCTTGTTTTGAGAATGCAGAGACACTGAAGTTTTATCTAGTTTCTTTAAGTATTAATAATAAATTTGATATTTTATTAAAATAGATGTATCCCTTTTAATTTATTAGGAAGAAGATACTCGGAAAAGAATCCTGTGTCCTTTAGATCCAAAACAGTAAGTATGGATCAGATAAAGATTTTTCTGTGTTGGAAACAGTAATCGTCACGAGTCTTATTTTAAATAATTTTCTTTTTAAATTTAGCACAGTATATGAAGATCAACTAGCAAAGCATTTGAAAAAATGTAACTCAAGAGAGAAGCCAAAACCTGTAAGTGTTTGATCAGTAAAATTAAATGGTGAAATGTGTGGTTTGTAATGTTTATGTATATATATATACTTAGTATATTACAAACATGTATATTTAATAAGACTCATGCCTCAAGGCTTTGATTTGGTAAATGCACTTGATGTATATAGAGTATCAGACAGTAAATCCACTCACAGTCTTAATTCAGAGAATAGAATTTTATGCAACATGAGTTTTCTTCAGAGTATAATTTCACAGCTTGGTTATTGAAAGATATTTACTTAGTGCCTACTAAATTTACTACAATAAAATATGATCCCAGCCTTCAAGGAGCTTATTTGAGACTGATAAATAAACTTGGAAATAAGGGATATTATTTAAGAAGGTCAATGAAAGAAGTAAGCACGTGATGAGAGCACATACTTGCATCAAAATTAAAATTAAATCCAAGGGTCAAGAAAGGCTTTCCAGAAGAAATAACACTTGAGCTGATTCTTGATGTGGCAAAGAAAAGGAAAAAGAGTCCTTCTAAGCAGAAAGGACAACATGTGCAAAGGTATGGAGCTGAAAAACTGCATGATGCTTTCAAGAAATTTGAACTTTATTCTGAAAGATATGGGAAACTACTGAAAGACTTTAAGCTCAGGACTGGCGTGATCAAATTTACCTCTTAGAAAACGTTCTTTTTTTAGCAGTGTAGGAAGATAGCTTGGAATCAGGAGTACTAGTTAGGAGGCTGTTATTGAAATACAGGTGGGATATGGTAAAACGCTGAATTAACAAAGATGGAAAGCGTAGGGATAGATGTACGAATTATTTAGGTAGCAGAGTCAATGAAACTTGGTGACTGATTAGATATTTGGAGTAGGATATATGAGTCTGAAACTCTTTAGAGTTACAGTCCCCAACCTCTGGGCCGAGGCCTGGTACTGCTCTGTGGCCTGTTAGGAAACGGGCCATGCATCACTGCCTGAGCTTGATACCAGTGTCTCCCCCACCCACGGTACCTCACCCCTAGTGTGCGGAAAAATTGTCTTCCATGAAACTGGTCCCTGGTGCTAAAAAGATTGGGGACTGCTTCTTTAAAGCAAGTAATCTAAATTTGGAAGTCAAATACATGAAGGTCATAGGTGAAGCTTTGGATTTTTAAGTTGCCCAGGGTAAGTGATTAGAGGAAAAAGAAAGGGACTGTTTATTCAGTAGATATTAATTGACCATTTATGCCAGACATTGTACCAAGCATCCTACCTAGAAGACCATTACAATCTAGTGGGAGAAATGGAAAATGCAGTATTATAACACATGTGCCAAAATTGATGAAGTACAGGGTGCTATGGGAGAATAAAGGAGACAGGGTTGGGCACGGTGGCTCACACCTGTAATCCTAGCACTCTGGGAGGCCGAGGCGGGAGGGTTGCTTGAGATCAGGAGTTGGAGACCAGCCTGAGCAAGAGTGAGACCCCATTTCTACTGAAAATAGAAAAATTAGCTGGGCTTGGTGGCGCTCACCTGTAGTCTCAGCTACTTGGGAGGCTGAGGCAGGAGGATCACTCGAGCCCAGGAGTTTTGAGGTTGCTATGAGCTAGGCTGACGCCATGGCACTCTAGCCTGGGCAACAGAGCGAGACTCTGTCATTCATTCATTCATTTATTCGTAAATAAATAAATAAGTAAATAAATGAATAAATAAGTAAATAAGTAAGAAGTAAGTAAATAAGACTCAAATAAATAAGTAAGTAAGTAAGACAGGCCCAAATCTTTTTTGGAGTATATAGGGAGTGAGAGAAATGGGGAAGAAGTCAGGGAGACTTCTTTAAAGGAGGTATCATGTAAGATGAGACATAAAGTTGAAAGGAGAATCGGCCAGACAAGGAGGCAAATATGTGCAAAGGCCTAGAAGTGGGAGTAGATAACACTGGCATTTCACATGGTGGAAGAATAAAATACAATGGGAGAGCTGAGTAAAAGATGAGATTTGAGTGGTAGCTAAGGAGTAGATCATGAGCCCAAGGACAGAACTCTTGGTGACACTGACATTAAAGGGTGAGGTGCTAATAGGAACCATAGAAAAAGATTGAGAAAGGGTGGCTAGAAAGATAAGAAAGAGAAAAACTAGGCCGGGCGCAGTGCCTCACGCCTGTAATCCTAGCTCTCTGGGAGGCCGAGGCGGGCGGATTGTTTGAGCTCAGGAGTTCGAAACCAACCTGAGCAAGAGCAAGACCCCGTCTCCACTAAAAATAGAAAGAAATTAATCGGACAACTAAAAATATATAGAAAAAATTAGCTGGGCATGGTGACGCATGCCTGTAGTCCCAGCTACTCTGGAGGCTGAGGCAGTAGGATCGCTTGAGCCCAGGAGTTTGAGGTTGCTGTGAGCTAGGATGACGCCATGGCACTCTAGCCTGGGCAACAGAGTGAGACTCTGTCTCAAAAAAAAAAAAAAAGAATAATTGCTGGGCATCTTTGAGAGTCAGACTGAGTATGGAGATAATGAATTTGAACCGGCATCAGTCCAAATGACTTCAGCAGTGGTCAGCACTCCAGATGTTGCAGTTAAAAGTCATATTAATGCAGGCATTGAGTTTTGTAAGGGTGGGAGAGAATGATTATAGTGGCTGTCTAAACTGGATGGCATGAAACAGAAGCCAGAAATTAGTTGATAAAAAATGAATACAGGTATTCAATAGGTAGAAGACTATGATTAGGAACAAGAGAATCACAATGCTTTGTACTAGTGTAGTGAAAAGTTATGGTGAGAAAATGGGTTAATGGAGTTTAAGATTTCAGAGGTAAATGGTTCATAGTAATGCCAGAGTCTAGAGGGCCCATGGAAGTACTTTGCAGAAGTAGAGTGAACGTCATGAGAATTAAGAAAGTCAAGCAGAGCTATTATGCTTAGGTGACTTGAACACATTGTCATATTGGCTGGATGTGGAGTAGAAAGGACAACTTGATGTCAAAGTCCCTAATGAATGTTGAATAATGACTAGCAGATTAGTAGTTGATAACCCTGAAAGATTTAGAGGATGGTTTAAATTTGGTGTTTCTCAGTGGGGGCTTTTGGCATTTTGAGTGGGACAGTCCAAGCCTGTGTATCCTAAAGCATCCTGTACATTTCAAAGTATCCATCCTGGCCTCTGAGAAGCACTTGTCAAGAACCGTGAAGGGTCTGAAATTTTCTTATTTCTAGGCTATTGAGTTAGCCTGCCATAGGTTCCTGGGTGCTAGCAGAAGACATGAGATTCCTGAGTCAGAGACATAGAACAAAGGACTTCATTACTCACCACATAGCAAGCAACATGAGCTTGTTTGCATCAGTTCCCTTTGCTACTCAAGGCTAGATAAGTCAACATGGAGGCACCTAGATAGATGCTGCATGCGCAATGTTACAGCTGAGGAACCCCAAGCCTAGGGAATACAAATTATTTTTAAATTGGGCAATAAGCACACCTTCCTGACCTTTGTTCCATAAGTAGACATTTATTTATTATACCACACAATAACTAAGCCTGCCATGTTATCTAGGAGAAGACACCATTTCTGTCTCCCAAGGGTGCTTGGTATATAAGTGTCCTTGAAAAAATAGTCTGGAACAAAGATAATCAGTGCCTCTGCTTCTAAACTTGTAGAAAAACAAAAGACCCATGGAAGAATTGTGTCCCAATAGCACCTCTCAGATATTTTGACAATAAAATACTCCCCCCTATATTTGCAGATTCTTCCCAATTGAGAACAACTGGACCAGATGGCATAACTTTAAAGAAAGTATTTTTACATTAAGATGGTGTAGAAGAAAAATGATCACCCCTCACCACCACCCCATTAGGACTTAGTCCCTTTAGTAGAAAGAGAAAATGTTGGCTTTGCTCATAAGTATCTTCTTTACCTAATTGCCAGGTTTCAGTTAAAGCAAACAAGTGGAATATGTACGCTGGGAAAAGTTTGAGAGAAGAGGTAAATTTATTAAAAATGGAATACCTTGGATGAGTTTTATTGTATGTCAGCACACAGTGGCAAGGAAATGGAGAAAAAGCAGTGAGGTGATAAGATAGAGGAAAGGAATGTGGAGGAGTATTTATCTGGTACGCTATGTAGAATAGGAATCTTGGAACTGAGGTAAAGGCCTATCATTGTTCTGCTTTGCTTTGGGAAACTGGTCATCAATTTTTAAATATTTTGTATATTAAATGCAAGTAAGTTGGTGATAAATCTCTCTAATATAAATGGTTTTCACATTTAAAAATCTAATCCACAATGTAAGTTACCTGGAGCACTCTTTGCAACCATTTTGAACTAGAGTCCATCAAATTCTAATAGTTATGGCTAATGTTCTATTATAGTGTTGTCAGTCATCCAAAAAAACATTGTAATTCCTGCAGTCTTCACCCATTCCACTCAATCACCAGTGTCCATTGCTATCCATATAAGGAAAGCTAGCAACACACAATCAGAATATTACTTTTCTGCCATCTGTGTAACAAAAGTCCACTACTATGCATAACATAATGTCCCCAGGAGTTGTTTTCACATTTAAAACAGGATTTGTAGAAATAGCGCTAATTCATTCATCTAGATCTACACTATTCAATATGGCAGCCAGTAGCCATATATGACTATTTAAATCCGAATTAATTAATTATAACCAAATAAAATTTAAAATCCATTTCCTCAGTCACATAGCCATATTTCAAGGCCAGTGGCTGCCATGTTGGCCACAGTAGATATAGAACATCTCCATCATTGCAGAAAGTTCTATTGGACAATGCTGATATAGATCCTTACCTAGAATGTATAGCTCTGTAGAAGGACTAGAAACATCTCATTATATTAATTAAAATAACAGTGTCACAGGACATTTATTTTTTTGATTTTTAATTAATATTTTAAAGTAGAAGAAATTAGACTTAATACCATTGTGATATCTATATTTTATCTGTTTTTGGTCATGTTGCATGTCTGGTAAACAGCATTATGTTGTTGGTACTTTGTTGTTTTTGCTCCAGTGCCATAAAGGAAAACTGGCCCAGTCCTCAGTCTATTCTGTAAATAGGTGAAAACTTTAATAAAGATTACAAATGAATCTCTTTAGACTATAAATGCTTATTCAAATAACCACCTTACTAGAATATAAGATCCATGGATATAGAGATTTTTGTCTCTTATATTATCTACTGTGGTGAATGCCTAGCACTTAAATCAAACTAGGGACTATAGTAGGTACTCAATAACGATTTAATGAATAAATGAATGGGAGGAAGGAAGAATGGCAGGTACAGAGTATGGGGTGAAGGGAAGAATCAGTTTTCAGCTTAATTTTTGTGATCTTCACGTTATTAACAATATTATGGTTTTGTTTTTATTAAGGATTTCTTTATTCAAGATATTAATGCAGGCTTAAAAGATGAAACAGAAATACCTGAACAATTAGTAAGTACATAGACTTAATATTTAATTTTAAAAGGTATTTATAAGCTGTCTCTATGTTGTGAATAAGTCATGTTGCAATTTTTGTTTCAAATATAACTGTTGCTTTGAATTTAGAATGCATTTTGTTATATGATCAGTATTATTGGTAATTGCTGGTTCTTGGGCCAGCTCATGCCCCATAACAAGACAAGCTGCAATGTGGCCCTGAGTCCCCTTTGATTCTTGAATTCTTCTGAGCCTAAACTTGTTCTTGACCCTGAGGAGGTTAGGTGAATTAAAGGAGCATGGCAGAGACTGAGCAGAGGCTTAGCAGTTAGACAATTCTGATGGGAGCTTAGGGAAAAGGCCTTATCAGAAAGAAAAGCCTAAGCTGCATGGGAATTGCCCAACTGTTAAGTCTCTACTCAGTCTCTATCCTGCTACTTTATGACACTTTTTGGCTACATTATTTAGTTTTATTTTTGTATATAGGTTCCAATTTCTTCTCTATCTGAAGAGCAGTTGGAAAACTTAATTAAGAAATTGAGAAAAGCAAGTGAAGGTAAGTCAGCCTAAAGTTGCAAGTTAAATTATTTTAGAGTAATAGGTGGTATATGAGTTGCTACCATTCTGGTTTAAAATATATTACTACCATTATTCAGAATCCTACAATTTCATTTGGTTGCTTAAGCTATCGTGCTTATATTTGACACAGGTTTGAATTCTACACTTAAAGATCATATTATGTCCCATCCAGCATTACAAGACGCCCTTAAGGACCCTAAAAATGGTGATTCTGCAACAAAGCACCTGAAACAGCAGGTATGTTAAGGTTACAGTAACCCTACTAAAAATGGCCTTTGTTCATTTGTTAAAAGCTTTCTAAATACAGTTATTATTGAGATTTTATTTCACTTACCCTTCAGGGTACAAAATATTTCTATTTCAAAAAATATGTATGAACATATATAAAAAATTGGGGCTATAGATATGGTTTTGAGTAGGAAGTATTAAATATTTAAAAGCAAGAGAAAAACAATTTAAAGCCAAATAGAAATTATCACTGTGATGAACATACTGTCGTATGTAGAAATCACCTTGCTATTTTCCCATTTGAGCCAAATGTGTTTGCTCTATTTTATAAAATAATCTTGTGAAGTTTGCAGGCTTCTATTTTAGGTAACATTGAAAAATTAAAGTTACTTGGTCCAAGAAGATGCTTTGTTGAGTTTGGAGCGGGAAAGGGAAAATTATCTCATTGGGTTGATATTGCCTTAAGAGATGCTGAAAAAGTTCACTTCATCTTAGTAGAAAAGGTGTCCACAAGATTCAAGGTAAGTGAAACCATTGCAGTACATTAGTAACCAAACTTTGCATTTTTCTTACTTGAAAAATATGACAGAAACATACCTTAAAGAAAATAAAAAATGAATTTTCTTTTCTGTCTATTCAATTATAGCCTTCTATCAGTTCTAATTATACTGATGACTTGTCTTAAACTGAAGGTGATTTTGGTTTTTTTATTTCAAAATATTAAGGGAGTACAAATGTTTTTGTTACATAGATACCTTGTATAAATGCTTAAATCAGGGCTTTTGATGTGTACGTCATCAGAATAGTGTTCATTGTACCCAATAGGTAAGTTTTTATCCTACACCTCCCTTCCCACTCTCCCCTTTCTTGGTTTCCAATGTCCTTTATATCTCTTTGTGCCTGTATGTACCCATCATTTAGCTCCTACGTATCAGTGAGAATATACGGTATTTGGTTTTCCATTCCTGAGATACTTCACTTATAATAATAGACTCCGTTTCCATCCAAGTTGCTGCAAATTACATTATTTCATTCCCTTTTATGCCTGAGTAGTAGCCCATGGTGTATATACATATACCACATTTTCTTTATCCACTCGTGAATTTAGGGACACTTAGGCTGGTTCCACATCTTTGCAATTTTGAATTGTGCTGTGAAAAACATTAAATATGCAGCAGTGGGATTGCTGAATCTTTATTTCTTTGAGGAATCTCCATATTGTTTTCTATAGAGGTTGTACTAATTTGCAGTCCTACCAACAGTGTATAAGCGTTCCTGTCTCTCTGCATCCATGGCAACATCTATTGTTTTTTGACTTTTTAATGATGGCCATTCTGACGGGGAGGATGGTATCTCTTTGTAGTTTTAGTTTGCATTTCCCTGATGATTAGTGGTATTGAGCATTTTTTCATATGTTTGTAGACCATTTTTCTATCTTTGAAAAACTTCTTTTCATGTCTTTTGCCCACTTTTCAATGGGGTTGTTTGGTTTTTTCTTGATGATTTGTTTGAGTTCTTTGTAGATTCTGGATATCAGTCCCTTGTTGGATGTATACTTTGTGAATATTTTCTCCCATTCTATAGGTTATCTTTTCACTCTGTTGATTCTTTCCTTTGCTGTACAGAAGCTTTTTAATTTAATCAAATCCCATTTATTTTTGTTGTTGCTGTAATTGGCTTTGGTGGTCTTAGTCATAAATTCTTTGCCTAGGCCTATGTCTGGAAGAATTTTTCCTACTTTATCTTCTGTAATTGTAATGGTTTCATGCCTTACATTTAAGTCTTTTATCCATCTTTAATTAGTTTTTGTATATGGTGAGAGTTAGGGGTCCTGTTTCATTCTTCTACATGTGCTGATCCAATTTTCCCAGCACCATTTATTGAATAGGACTTCCTTTCCCCAATGTATGTTGTTTTCTGCTTTGTTGAAGATCAGTTGATCATAGCTCTATGGTTTTATTTCTGAATTCTCTATTTGTTTTATTGTTCTGTGTCTCTATACTAGTACCATGCTATGTTCCTTACTATAGCCTTGTAGTAAAATTTGAAATCAGGTCATGTGATGCCCCCAGATTTATTCTTTTTGCTTAGGATTGCTTTGATTATTCAGTCTTTTGTGGTTCCAAATGAAGCTTAGGATGATTTTGTCTAGGTCTGTGAAATAAGACATTTGTATTTTGATGGGGATTGCATTGAGTCTGTAAGCCACTTTGGGCAGTGTGGACATTTTAATGATGTTGATTCTGCCAATCCATGAGCAAGGAATGTTTTTTTCATTTGTTTGTGTCATCTGTGGCTTCTTTCATCAGTGCTTTATAGTTCTCCTTGTAGAGATCTTTCACCTCGTTGGTTAAGTGTATTCCTAGGTATTTTATTTTCTTTGTAGCTATTCTGAATGATATTGAGTCCTTTATTTGACTCGCAACTTGACTGTTACTAGTATATAGAAATCTACTGATTTGTATGCATTGATTTTGTTACCTGAGACTTTGCTGAATTTATTTATCAATTCTAAGAGTCTTTTGGTGGTGTCTTTACAGTTTTCTAGATACAAAATCATATGGTCAGCATACAGGGATAATTCGACCTCCTCTTTCTCAATTTGTATGCCCTTTATTTCTTTCTCTTGCCTGATTGCCCTGGCTAGGACTTCCAATGTTATGCTGAATAAAAGTGGTGACAGTGGGCACCCTTGTCTTTTTCCAGTTCTTAAGGGAAATGCTTTCAAGTTTTCCCCATTAAGTGTGATGTTGGCTATGGTGTAATATATTGGCTTTTATAATTTTGAGGTATGTTCCTTCTGTGCCTAGTTTGTTAGGGTTTTTATCATGAAAGGGTGCTAGATTTTATTGAATGCTTTTTCTGCATCTATGAGATGATCATATGGTTTTAGTTTTAGCTTTTGTTTATGTGGTGAATCAGTTTTATTGATTTGCATATATTGAACCATCCTTGCATCCCTGGGATAAAACTCACTTGGTCATGATGAATTATCCTTTTGATGGACTTTTTAATTTGGTTTGCTAGTATTTTTTTGAGGACTTTTGAATCCATGTTCATATTGGTCTTTAGTTTTCTTTTTTTGTGGTTCCCTTTCTTGGCTTTGGTATCTAAGTGGATACTAGCTTCATAGAATGAGTTAGGGAGGATACCTTCCTTCTCTATATTTTGGAATAATTTCCATAGGATACGTACCAGTTCTTCTTTGTAGGTGTGGTAGGATTCAGCTGTGAATCCATCTGGTCCAGGGTGCTTTTTTCTTGGGAGTTTTTTTTTATTACTGCTTTAATCTTGCTGCATATTATCATTCTGTTCAGGATTTCTGTTTCTTCCTGTTTGGAATGTTGTATGTTTCCAGGAATTTATCCATTTCCTCTAGATTTCCTGATCTGTTTGCATAGAGGTTTTTGTGGTATTCACAGATGATATTTTGTATTTCTTCGGTATCAGTTGTAATGTCCCTTTTGTGATACTTCTGCCGTTTTGTTAAAGGCATTTAAGGCTATGAATTTTCTCCTTAGGACTGCTCTTGCTATATCCCATAGATTTTGAAAGCTTATATCCCCTTTTTCCTTCAGTTCAAGAAACCTTTTGATTTCCATCTTAATTGCATCATTTACCCAAGGATTGTTCAACAGCAGATTGTTTAATTTCCATGACTTTCTATAGAATTCAGTGTTTCTCTTAGAATTGATTTCTAGTTTTATTCCACTGTGGTCTGAGAAAAGACGCGTGACATGATTTTGATTTTTTTGAATTTGCTGAGACTGATTTTGTGGCCTAAGATATGATCAATCTTGGAAAATATCTCATGTGCTGATGAGAAGAATGTATATTCAGTGGTTTGGGGTAGAATGTTCTGTAAATGTCTTTTAGGTCCATTTGTTCTAGAGTCTCATTTAAGTCCATTGTTTCTTTATTCATTTTGTGCTTCGGCAATCTGTCTAGTTCTGTTGGTAGGGTGTTGAAGTCCCCAGCTATTAAGATGCTACTGTTTGTTTCTTTGCTTAGAGCTTGCAGAATTTGTTTTATGAACCTGGGAGCTCCAGTGTTAGCTGCATATATATTTACAATTGTTATACCTTCTTGCTCAATTGCTCCCTTTACCATTATATAAAGAACATCTTTGTCTTTTTTTTTTTTTTTTACCATTGTTTATTTAAAGTCTATTTTATCTGATACGGGAATGGCTACACTCACTCACTTTTGGTTTCTGTGTTCATAGAATTTTTTTTCCATCCCTTGACTTTGAGTCTCTCTGTGTCCTTGTGGGTTCAGTGTGTTTCCTGGAGACAGCAGATATTTGGGTTGTGTTTTTCCATCCATTCAGCCAGTCTCTGTCTTTTAAGGGAAGCATTCAGACTGTTCACGTTGAGTGTTAGTATTGGCGTGCTAGTCTGTTCATCATGTTGGATGATACTTATTGTTTTGTTTTCCCTCTTGTGCTATTGTTTTATAAGAGCTATGAGATTTAACTTTTGGGTGTTTTTACACTGATTCGTATCTATTATGCAGTTCCACGTGTAGTGTACTTTTGAGCACTTCCTATAGGGCAGGTTCAGTAGTGACAAATTCCTTTAGCTTTTGCTTGTCTGGAAAAGGCTTTATTTCTTCATTATTTATGAAATTTAGTTTTGCATGATACAAGATTCTTAGATGGCAATTGTTCTGCTTAAGAAGACTAAAAGTGGGGCCCTGATCCCTTTTGCTTGTAAGGTGTCTACTGAGAAGTCTGCTTTTAGCCTGATGGTTCTCCTTTGTAGGTTAGTTGTTGCTTTCATCTTGGAGCTTATAGAATTTCCTCTTTCAATTTTACTTTGGCTAGGTTAATGATTTGGAGTGTCTTGGAGATGTTCAATTTGCTATGAATCTTCCTGGTTTTCCGTGACCATCTTGTATCTGAATATCAGAATCTCATATGATGCTAGGGAAGTGCTCCTCAATAATTCCCTTGAATAATTTTTCCATGCTTTTTGCTTTTCTTCTTCCAGGATACCTGTAATTCATATATTGGCTCATTTCACATAGTCCCTTATTTCTCTGAATGATTGTTCATTCTTCTTTTTCCTGTGTCTTTGACTGATTGGGTTACTTTAAAAGCCTTGTCTTCAAGCTCTGAGATTCTTTATTCTCCTTAGTCTAGTCTGTTGTTGAAGATTTCTGCTGTATTTTGTAATTCCATAAATGACCCTTTCATTTCTTTAAATTCTGTCATATCCTTTCATATCCTGTTGTCTCTTCAGTGAGTTCATATTTTTCATTTGTGTCCTGAAATATTTTTTTGGTTTTCTATTTTTGGTTTTCAGCTTTCTCTTCAATTCCGTTCATGTTTTTTGCCATCCATACTCGGAAATCCATTTCTGACATTTTGACAGTTTCCTTTTGGTTGGGGTCTGTTGCTGTAGATGCACTGTGATCCTTTGAGGATGTCAGACTAGCTTGTTTTTTCAGGTAGCTAGAATTCTTTTGTTTGTTTCTTCTCATCTCAAACCTTTTCTCTCAGCTCAGGGCTGATAGGTTTGCAGAGTACCTATTCTCCTTTGCTGGGAACTCTCCTACTTAGTGAGGAGGAGAAATCCCTGGATAGCACTTTTGTATCCTACTACAGAGGACCTGGCAGGAGAAGGGCGAATGCACTAAGAGCCTGTAACACAGCTGTTCTCCTGCGTCATCCAGTCCCCCTGTGGGACTGGATGTCACAGTCCAAGCCAGTGCTGATGGATACTCATTTGGATTGATGGGTTGGTCCCCAGGCTGCTGTTAAAAGGTTGGGCTGGGGGCTAGGCAAATCCCTCTCCATGGAGGTCAGTGGCATGACCTTGGCCAGTGCCTGGGCAGGTCATGGGACCTTGGTGGGTGCCTGGAGGTGTCACAGGACTGCAGCCTGTGGTGGGGTGAGTCTTGGGACCTTGGCAATTTCCTGCACGGGTTGTGGGATGTTGGCAGGCTCTAGGGCAGGTTGTGGGACCTTGGGCAGCCCCTGGGTGCATCATGGGACTGCAACCAGTGGTGGGGCAGGGTGGGTCTTGGGAACTTGTTGAGTCTCTGTGTGGGATGCAGTACCTTTGCAGGTACCTGGACAGGTTGGGGGTCTTGGCCAGTGCTTGGACAGGTTGTGGGACCACAGCCAGTGGTGGGGTGATTCCTTGTGCTGTAGTGGCTGGCAAGGCTAGTGTGAGGTGCAGTGCCCTGCCAGAGACTCACAGTGGCTGGAGCTCTCCCTCCACCCAGGTCTGACTGTGACAACTGCTATGGTGTTACTCAGGTGGCAGTGGCAGTGCTATTGAGATGGCAAGATGGCGGTGGCAGATGCTGAGGACTGATGGGCACCTGCTCTGTTCGGATCCCTCGGAGGCAGCCAGTAGGGGGTGTTGGGTGGTGCATGGCACCTAGTCACAGTGCGCATGAGAGAGCCTGCCCTCCCCTGTCCCTCTCTGATCTGGCAAGGATAATGGGGAGGCAGCTGCAGTGGAACTGACCCCTGTGCAGACTGGGCACCCTGGGGCTGAGAGTGCAGATTGGTGTCTGTTGCCATGTCCTGGGACCAGAAGTTGGTGGGACCCCACTGTGCCCGTTCTCCAGTGCAATGCTGCTGTAGTCTCCAAGCTCCTTGATCAGTTTGGAGCCATGCTGTGGTGGAGACCTCCTCGCAGCTTGGATCTCAGTGTCCCCTGGAGGAGTGCAGAGCCCTGGGGATCTCTCGCCTAACCATTCCCTATGTGTGAACACCTACCCCAGGTATCTTCCTGTCTTGCCGAGCAGACCTCACCTCTCTCTCTCTTGCTTTGGGTGTCTCCAGTCGCTTCTCTGATGATTCATAGTGCTCTCTGCAAAAGCATTGTGGGTAGAAGTCTACCCACAGGTGACCCTCTACCCACAATCTCTGATCATCTCCTTGAGAGCAGCAAGTGCAGGCTGCTTCTAGTCTGGCATCTTGGCCTCTCCCTCCAATTTTTTTAATCTAAATTTTGATAGTCCATTTATCTAAGCTCTTAAAATTATTTGCAGAGACAGGAAAATATGTAGAAAGAGCCAAGCTCAAGCTAGGAGTTAAGTCTTGGGTCCTCAGCTGGGCATGGTATCTCTCACCTGTAATCCCAGCACTTTGAGAGGCCATGGCAGAAGGATTGCTTGAGACCAAGAGTTTGAGACCATCCTGGGCAACATAGACCCTGCCTCTGCAAAAAGTGAAAAAATTAGCTGGGCATGGTGGTGTGTATCTGTAGTCCTAGACATTTGGGAGGCTGACATGGGAAGATCTCTTGAGCCCACGAGTTCAAAATTACAATGAGCTATGGTGAGGCCACTGCACTCCAGCCTCAGTGACAAAGCGAGACCCTGTCTCTTAAAAAAAAAAGTCTTGGTTCCTACTTCTGCCTTTGCCAGTAACTCTTCATTCAGTAAACAGTTACTGAGCATACTGCCAGGCACCAAAATAGACATTCATGTATAAAGTCAAGTAAGACAAGGTGCCTACGCTCTATTACTTATGTTTAGAAATGAGAGGCAACTAAATGAATGTTTGTAGTCAATTACATGTTAAAATGCACAGAGTAGTGTGTATTCCTAGGAAGCAGTGACAAGGTTTATGGCAGGGAAGGGATGGAGAATGACTGACTACACAGAAAAGATGATGCTTGAGCTAAATCTTGAAAAGTAAATTAGTGTTTGCTAGATAGAGGGTTTGAAAAGCATTCTAGGAAGCAAGAACTATATAACCAAATGCCTGAAACAACATGAAAATGTGGACACATTTCTGTGTTGCGAGAGAACATGGTGTGAGGTACCGTTCATCAGTGATGAGACTGGAGAGGAGTGCTAGGCTATGGAAGGTCTCATATTTTATGCCGAAGGAGGAGTTTGACTTTATCTTGCTACGTGTTAGGGATACAGTGGAAACAAGAGTTTTTACCTTGAAGAAGCTTATGTCTAGTGGAGTAGACATAAAAATATTTTGGTTCAGTATGCTCAGTGTGTTATGATAATGGTAAGTACTCGATGCTATGGGAGCATGAAGATAGAACGCCAACGTCAGTCCAGTGTGGGTCACAAAGTTTTCGTGGAAGAAGTGACACTTGAGAGAAGATTGAAAGAATATTTAAGAGTTGGTGAAGTAAAAAAGGGTCTTTAAATGTTTATCCTAGCTGGATACAGTGGCTTATGCCTGTAATCCTAGCACTTTGGGAAGCCAAGGCAGGAGGATCACTTGAGGCCAGAGGTCAAGCTTATGGTGAGCTATGACCAAGCCACTGTAGTCCAGCCTGAGCGACTAAATGAGACCCTGTCTCTTAAAAAAAAAAAAAAAAGTTTATTCTAGCAGCACCATTAAAATTATGTCAGAAGAGTGATACTTAAAGGAGGAAGATGAATAATGAGATAATTTTTATCCAGTAATCCAAGTAAGAAATGGACCAGAGCTAAGGCTATTGCATTGGGGTGGAGAGAAGGGGAAGAGTACGAGAAATGTTAAGATGTTGGAAACCACAAGACTTGGCGATTTATTATTCATTGAATATGAGAGAGAAGGAATAATTTTGGGTAGCGTTTTTATGGCTCAAGTGACTAAGTGGTGCTGTTCTCTGAGATAGGGAATAAAGGAGGAGGAAGAAGAAGAATAGGTTTGGAGGGAGAAATAATGATTTCAGTTCTGGATGTGCTCAGTTTGCTGTTGAAGTAGAGCTTTCTAGTTCATAAATGGATATATGTCTCATGCTCATTAGAGAGGTCTGGGCCACAAATGTAGATCAGTAAGCCATAGGCACATGGGTATAGATTAGAATTGCTACGATGTTTCAGGGAGAGTAAGAGGAGTGAGCTAAAAACAGTATGCTAGGAAAAAATCTCAGCAGTTTTGTTTATTTGAATAGTGTTTCCAAATCTACTTTCATTAGCCAGAATGCTACAGGACCCTGCAGTTCAAGGAGAGAGTCCACTTCCAGTAGCTTACAGACCAAACGACATGCCATCTTAAAGTTTCTGCTTATTAGAAACAACTGAAATGCATTATAGGGCAGCAGTAACTGTAATGGCTGGTTTGCCAACCCGTGGGGTGGAATTAAAAATGCATTAAAATTTATATAAAGGAAAGTAAATAGCAATGAGTCTTTATTGGTTTGGACATACTTAAATGACTGTTGTTTCTCTTTGTGTGGCTAAGAAAAAAAACCTGTAAAAATAGAAGAAACATTCCCTTTTGGAACTTGAGTCGTGAAAATTTATTATTAATAAAATGGACAGCTTCTTTCTTTAAAAAAAATAGTATGCTAGGGGTGACAAAGATAAAGGAAATAATGTATACATAATAATTGATAAAATTTTCAAACCTTATAAAATGTCTGATATTAGAGTTTTCAGCACTCTTATTTTTTTATTCATTCTATTTTTACTACTAAAAATAAGATGGAAACTTTTTTGCTCTGCATTTTAAAAAGAAATAGAAATCTTTTTATTTTCATAAAGCTTTTTTTTAAACATAAAAAGTCATTCATTGTTACAATAATGTTCTGTTTGTGCAGGTAGATGGTAAACACAGAAAAAAAAATTCAGTGTTTGAAAGACTTCAAATTGATATTCAACACTTGTGTTTGAGTAAGTTGCACAACTTTCCATTGCTCTACCATAAATCATAGAAGTTTCAAACCGAGGGTTGCTTAGAAATCCAGTCATGCAGAACAGTGTTTCAGGGAAAAAAGTAAAATTTTTTCCATTGTTATTATATAAATGTTTTATGTAACAGTTAAATAATTGTAAACTGAATTAGAGTTGAAACTTGTTTTTCATTACCAACTGGAAATGAAGTGTTATATTAGGGGAGAGTTTAAAAGTTTTGATAATAATGTACTTATGCTGCTTCTTTGTCCTATTTAAATTAATTTTGAGTCTGTTCATACCATAAACTAGCCTTCTGCCTGTAGTTAACATGACTTTGCCTAAACCATTAAAGAAAACGAGATAGTTCTCTGCTTAGCTAATGTGTAAGAATACTTCCTAGAGTTTTAAACTGTACCAAAGGAAATAAATTGTCGCTGTGGAACTCACAGCAACATATACACACATATACACATATACACATAGACACACACACCTCATTCTCTTTAGTGTCCTTTCTATATTTTTTCTAAGTTTTTCAGATTATTTAAGAACAGAGTAATACAAATGTATCTCAGCAACTTCTTCCATCCACTAATTGTAATCCAACCTTGAGAAGCATACCATCATTTGCATATAAATTACTGTATTTAAAATTATTTACTGGATAGATAAATTTTTTGATGTCATGAACACTAAACAATTTCTTATGTTATATGTTGAGTTCTATAAAGTGAGAATGTTTTATTCAAGTGTCTTTCACCCCTAAAATTCAAAGACTCTGATCAGTTCTCTCTTTCAGAAGGCCACATTAACATGTACTTTCTCTCATGAGAGAGCTTAATTCTCATTTTCTTGTTTTTCAGGCAGGATTCCTGTGCTAAGAGAAAGAAAACTACCCGTGGTAGGAATTGGAAAGCATCTGTGTGGTGTGGCAACAGGTATGTAAACAATAATGTCTGAATTGACACATTAAGTTTTGACTTAACCTGGCTTCAGCCATTTCAGTGGTCTCTTTTAGATTTCTTATGTTTACAACCCATTAGTCTTCATAGTAGCACTGGCCCTGTGTTATATCAAATACAGAGCTTTCCTATTTATCTTCTCATTTTGGCCATTTTGCAGAGTAATATAAGAGTTTTGTGTGTAAATACTGTGTCATATTGGCCTTAGAGTGCTTTGGAGTGTATTTCAATCAAAAAAAGGAAACAAACCATTTATGGAAACTATATGATTCCACCTGAGAAGCTACTGATTTTTTAGAGGAACCGCTTAGGAAGAACTCTGAAACTTCTCCCATTAGAAGATTATTGTGTTTCAGGATTCTGAGGAAAAAAGAAAAAAGAAATTTTTGCCAGAAATTCTAGGCCAGGTGTAATGGCTCATGCTTGTAATCCTAGCACTTTGGGAGGCCAAGGCAGGAGGATTGCTTGAGGCCAGGAGTTTGAGACCATCCTGGGCAACATAGCGAGACCCTGTCTCTACAAAAAATTTAAAAAAATTTTTTTTTTAATCTAAGCTGTCTTGTCATAGCACTTCTGTTCATCAGATCTAGCATGGTAAAGCGGAAACAGCATGTGCTTTGGATTCAGATAGTCTAGCCTTCAGCTCTGTTGCAGAATCTTGGCAAATTACTTAACCTCTCTGACGTTTGGTTACCTGATCTGTAAAACAGGGATACTAATGTAATTTACCAAACTACATGTAAGCTGTCTGGCACATAATAGTGTTCAATAAATGTTAACTATTGTTACATCATCTTCCTGGCTCCTGCTAGTTTCACTATCTACCATTATGGGGAACTTGGAGCCTCTGTAAAACATTATTCAAATTGGGTAGAAATAGCTTTAAGTACTTTATATTTGTGTTGTCTTTCATAGCTTTCAGACTACAGTCCTGTACCTCATGACATTTTAGCCCACGATGGACTGCATATACAGTGGTGGTCCCATAAGATTATAATACCGTGTTTGTCCTATAACTTTTCTGTTTAGATACACAAATACTTATCACTGTATTACAGTTGCCTGCAATATTCACTACAGTAACATGCTGTATAGGTTTGTAGCCTAGAAGCAATAGGCTATACCTTATACCCTAGATATAGGTAGTAGGCTATAACCTCTAGGTTTGTGTAAGTTTTGTATACTTTGTGATGTTTGCACAAGAATGAAATCACCTAACAACACATTTCTTAGAACATATCCCCATTGTTAAGCAACGCATAACTGTGCTTTCACCTACCTTATCTTATTAAAAGCCTTCGAAGTAAACCAATTGCATCGTGGGGCAAGGAGAGGACATTCCTTTGACTCCACCCATCTAATCCTAGTTTCTCAAAAATATAACCTACAGTAACCATTTCTCATGTTCTGCACACTTTTTCCCCTTTGATTCACTCTATCTGGATCCTCGCTACATCTCCACTGCAGTTGCTTACCCTTTTTGAAATTCTGTTTCCTTCTCTTTTGTGACACTCTCTTTTCCTGGTTCTTCCCCTACATCTATGCCCTTCTTTCTGTTTCTTTTATGGTCTCCTTCCACTACCTGTCTTTTAAGTATTAGTATTCAGACCCATCTGCTACACACCTAATGTGTTTCTCCTTTAAATTCTTGAGTAACTCCTGATGACCTGCAGAATAAAGTCCAGGCTCTTTGATATAACATCCTACTCTCAGTGTGCCTTCTGCCTTCCTCTCTTAGCCATTCCTTCTCTCCATCTTTACTGTTCAGCAACATCAAACTCTGTATACTTTTCCATATACCACATTGTTTCTACTATACCTAGAATTCCACCCCACCCACCCACTTACCCAAAGAGAACAACTGGTCGGTTTCTACTCATCCTTCAGCTCTGTAGTCACCGCTCTTCAGGAGCCTCCTTAAATAAGATATGCCTTTTTAGTATTATCATAATTCCCTCTGCATATCTTTACCTTATTGTATTTTAATTATCTATTTACATATCTAATTCTTCCACTATGCTATGAATTTTTTTGTCTCCATCTTTACTGTTCAGCAACATCAAACCCTGTGTACTTTTTCTGAGCATAGGCATATGCTAGTACAATGCTTGGTATATCACAGGAACTCAGTACATATTGGAATGAATGAATAATCTTGGCCACCAGTTTGCTGTGTTTCCTTGTCCCTCTCTAGCTATGTGACTTTGTCACTTAAAGGAGGTGTAGAAATAAATTGCTAAAGCTACATCTAATTCTGAAATAACTTAATTATTTTAATAATTTTCTTGTTATTCACATTTCTTTACTTAAGTTAAATATGAATAAAACAGTGTCTATACATATTTTGTCAGAAAATAATAGTTTATGAAATAATAGACTAGCTATCAATTTCTCCAAATAATAGGTTTCTAATGTTTATTGAATTAAATTCATATGTTGAATTAAATTTACTAGTGAAATATCAGATCATTTAATACTCACTTGTGATAACTTAGGGTCATGAAATTTTTAAAAATATATACTGTTTTTGATTGAACAGACACAAAATGACAATCTAATCAGAAAATGTTTATTTTACGTTTGGGGTCTTTCCAATATTGTCAACAACATAGCGATTTTCAATGGGAAGCAGCCACAGTAATCAAAAAATTCATTTATTTAGTTTTAAAATGTACCAAATTTTTTCATTTTAATATGTAGCACACCCACCTCTAAGTTTGTATTAATCATCATTACATCCTTAATACTTTGCACATGAAAGGCATTCAGTAAATGTTTGCTGAATGAATTGTAAATTCAGTAAGGCTATTCACTGAGGCCCACTTTGCACATTCTGACCCCCTCTTTTCCACTGTAGTTCACCACTATTTGCTGTGAACATCTTACATTTCAAGACTATCTTCTTGACTTAGCATCAGCCTAAGCAGAACTGCCTTTTCAAATTTCTTTCTTTGTGTTTCTTAAGCTGGTATGTAAGTGTAGGTGAATAAATTCTTTCTATATGAGTCCTTTCCTCAGCTAGCATAAGAGAAATGAGAGATAATTCAAGTAGTTGGACTAAAAGTTTCTTATATTGTAATCTTAAGCTTCAGACAGTTTTATTGGGAATTCAGCTTTATGCAGAATAAATCATTAGAGAAATTGAGAAGATAGTAGAAAAAGGGCAAATTTAAACAAAGTTGATAATTCATGGTAGAATTATTACAAGTATAAAGCTAAGTAGATTTTTATTGTTTTTGTTGTTAGGTTTTAAAAAACCATACTGTTTAATAAATGTAAAAAATATTTATTTTTAAAGATGATGTGGTTTGGGGGGCCACATAATTGTGTTTGCAGATCTTGCATTACGATGTTTGGTTGAAACCTATGCTGCCAGTTGTGAGGAAAGAAATGAAGAACCTTTAGCCAAACGCATAAAGAATGATAAAACAGAAAAAGAAATTAACACTTTGGCCAAGGAAGGAAATGAAAAAAATGTCCCAGAGAAGTGGACCCCTGTGGCTGGCATTGTTATTGCACTCTGTTGTCACCACAGGTGTGATTGGAGACATTATGTGGGCAAAGAATATTTCAGGGCTCTAGGCCTTGGAGCAGTGGAATTTCACTATTTCCAGCGCATGAGTAGTTGGGCGACTTGTGGGATGGGAAAAACATCTTTGGAAGCCTCAGCTGTTACCGTGAAGAGGAAAGACAATCAGAATGATGACAGGGAAGAACATGATGATGGAGGATATCGAATCACAGATGACAGCACTAATAGTTTGCCTGGGTAAGTGACTACTTTTGTAATGCCCAACACTAAAGGAGAAATATTATTGCTGTACTTTCTTTTTAGATGACTGTTACCAACAATTTAGTTATGGAAATGTATTTTACAATCTTATTTTAGTTAAAATATACACATTTTTATTGTAGTCATAAAATGAGTCTTGGAAGCATGGGACATAGCACCTAGTATTAATGTATTATGGTTTATTTAGTAGTCTGTCAATAACTATAAGTCACTAAAATAATTTTTTATAAATGTTTATAAAATTTTAATAATGTTTTGTGTGTGTTTATTTGATTTAGGCTTCTTACTGTTGAAGAAAAGAAGAAAATAGGGCATCTTTGTAAATTGCTGATTGACCAAGGTCGAATCCAGTATTTGCAGCAGAAGGGATTCAGTCCTGCCTTACAATACTATACAGACCCTCTGGTGTCTTTGGAAAATGTATTGTTAACTGCTTTACCAAATCATTCTTCATCACCAGAAACAACTGCTTAATGGAAAAGAAATTTGAACATTATCTGTCTTCCACCAAAAAAAGTTTTTAATTATATTTTTATATTCACAAAAATATAATTTCAATAGCAGATAATATGAACTTTAAAAAATGCTGTGGCCTCATTGAACTTTTGATAATATCTTTGTTTTTTACTTCAGAGGTCCAAACATTAGAGAATTCACCAAATTCCTGAAGTAATCCTCTTCAGCAGGGCATCTTGAATTATATTATCCATCTGTATTTACAGAGATTGGTAAAGTAGTTGAACAGTTGACTTGGTGATCTGAAACACACACAATACATCAACATGTAATTAGCATATTAACTTTCTATTTGAATTAATTTTGGAAATTTATTTTCTTTTGATATTATTTAATATTTTTCATTTCTCAAGTTCAAAATGTAATGATTAATTGTCACTTTGTAACAAGGGCTAATCTAAGAATTTGGCTTATGTGTGAGTTTTTTTCCATGCAGATGCGGCAAGGACAATTGTAACTTTCTCACATGCAAACAAATTCAGATATGTTCACAATCAATTAATGAAATCACTTTAAGATTTCAAGAGCCATACCTGTATTTATATATTATCATAATTTGTCCATTACAAACATCAAATGTGAGATATTTTCAAAGAAAAAAAGACTATTTTTTTCACTTCATTTTTTCTTGCATAATTATCTAGTTAGAACTTCTAAAAAGATACTTATAATTCACAAATTAAATTTGAAATTTACAAATAACTTTGGAGTTAATTAAGTATCTCATATCTTTTATCAGGTCATCTTTTACATATATAAGTATAAAGAGTAAGTATGTTCTCTTCATACTTTTTATTTGGAAAAATATGTTTGGGAGAATAATTTGGAATAAAGTGGAAATTAGATAATGAAACCAAAAACCTTCTCACATTTAGGCCTTATTTAACTCATGAGTGGTTTCTATGCACAAGCAAATGTTAAACCAAACATACGGTAGACTGTTATTCTCTTCTACATCTTATTCGTGTTTTGTTTCTACCTTTATTTGTAAAAATTGTCTTAATTGTAGATATATTTGCCAAGACAAAGATCCAGAATTACAAGTTTTAGATATTATAATGATATTCTGAGGTAACTATTTTTATCCTGTAGGTACAGGTTACACAAATTGTAAATAAGAAGCCTAGCCCATTTTTAATTCCTGAGTAGTTTAATCTCTTATGTCTTGTCAAACTGCCTCGGTTCAGATTCCAACTCTACCACTTCTCAGTTGTGTGACCTTGGGCATGCTACGTAATCTCCTTGTGCCTCAATTTCCTCCTCTTAAAATGAGGATGAGGATAACAATAATGCCTACCTCACAAGGTTGTTGTGAGCATCAAATGAGATAACACAAATAAAATGCTTAGAATGGTTCCAAGCACAGAATAAGTAGTCAATAAATATTAGCTAATAGTATCAGTGGTAGTAATTCATGAATCTATTTTTAATAACATAATAGGTAGGCTTTGATTTTATTATCTCTTTGTTTAAGTTTGTTAATGTTTTTCTCTTGTTACGAGTTTTATGTCAAATATTACTGAGGTAGTTTTATTATTTTTTAAGTTAGTTACTCATGCCCCCTAATCAAGAGAACATAAATGAAGATAATACATCATTCAATAATTAACCTTATTTTATTGTGTCAATGCTAATTTGTGTCAATAAATTTGTTTTGCATCATTCAACAATTTGTGCCCAGAAATCAAATATATTCTACAACAACATTCCTGTAATGGCTGCTTCCTGGAGTAATAGGCTATGTCACATGGAACCTCTTAGCCTTAGCATTTGGAGCTCTAGGAAGGGAAAATTTCAAGTCAGATAGAATTATATATATACACCATTTCTTTGGAACCTTCAGCCCTCAAGAGCCCAACCTCATGACGTCAGTTTCAACACAATTGCTCTTAATCCTCATTTCGCTGCTTTTTTGGTACTGCCTGTTGTTGGAGCAGTGGAAGCCAGAGATGCAGTCACTCTCTTGTTAGCTGTGGTTCTCACCATTACAGGCACCTGTGCTTGCTTGGGGGTATATGCAGGGAAAAGAAATGGACAGATGCTACTTCGAAGGACCTCCCAAGTCAAACCTCACCCTGAAAACCTTCGTGCTTGAGGCTAAACCTGAGCTTTAGTGTCTGAATGTTTCTAAGAAACAGTAAAATAGGGGAGTTTCATATTCTTAGGTGTTTCTCTTAAAATGGGAACAAATTGATATGTAAATGGGAAAAAAATGTTTACAGCAAGTAATGCACTGAAAAATGCAGCCTATAATTTGTATTCGCTGGTTAGAAAGGAGGTCAAAGAAGTAAGATGGCTGAAATTTACATAGGTAGTATTTCATACCTTTTCAATTTTCAAAGCATATGAAATAGGAAGAAAAACTCTTGCTCAGAATCCTAGGAAATTGTCAATGTTCATTTATAATCACTGCCTCCTGAATTGTTGAGGAGTCTTTTCCCCATATTTTTATTACATTTTTGTTTTATCTCCCAAGTTAATATTGCATTTAGATATCAAATGGCCAAAAATTGAAACTTTTATCTCTGGGGAAAAAATTCAGAAAAGTGTATTCACTGTATCCAATATTGAAATGGAGAAAAGATTTAATGTAAAAAAAAAAACCCTTTATATTAATTAACTGAATACTGTATTAAAGTACTGGTGAGAAGTACTGTATTAAAGATAAACCCATTATGTTGTAAAAAATAAAATATGTACAACAGGCATAATCTAACCTCAGTTATGTTTCACAAAACACACATACACACTCAGGTATTATCATACTGGTACAGTCTTGTGGCTCATTTAGCTTAATGATGTTTCTGACCATGGTTCCAAGTACCACCATTTGGAAAGATAAGCTTGTCCTTCAACGCCAGCCTTAGGTCAAGATTATTGTTTTTCCAACCTTGTTTATTTATCTTCACATATCATGAGAAAGTGACTATGTGGGATATGCATATAGCTATTTCTTGACCAGAATTTGCAAACTCAGCAAACCCCTTCTTGAACTTTAGATGCATCTACACAATTACTGTGTCTTGCATGTCCCACAGGTGCATCATCTGTTTCTACCACCTGATTCTGCCCACCAAACCAGCTTCAGTACTTCATTCCCCATCTTAGCACTACCATCCATCTAGTTGCTTTAACCAAAAACTGAGATTCATTTGGAACTCCCTTTTCTCATCCTCATTCAATTATCAATTCTGTCAACTACTTTTACATATTTATTCTTTGCTTTCCAAAACTAGGCCCCAAATGATTACAACTTTTACCTGTCTTCCCCCAACCTGTCCTCCAAGCTCTTGCACCTGTGACCTTGCTACAATAGATCTAATCATCATTTCCTAAACATTCTCCACTGAATGTCTTCTATCTGAAAAACTCACTGTCTGCTCAGATTACACTCATTTTTCAAACTATTTGCTGCATTGAGCTGAACTGAAATCTACCTTTTAAGTAAAAAGGTTACACACATAGCAAAATGTTATTTACATTTTAGTGAATTATAAAACCATGATTTCTATTACTATCCTATTGTTTGGTTTTTTATTCACAGAAAGGCTTTCTTTCCTTAATTAAGAAAACAAGTAATTCGAAATTATCAGAGACTGATTGAAATCTGCATAGAAACGCTCACATTTCCACTGTTGGTTAAAATCTATTAGCTGGGTGTGGTGGTACATGCCTAGAGTCCCAGCTACTCTAGAGACTGAGGCAGGAGGATCACTTGAGCCCAGGCGTTCGAGGATGCAGTGCCCCATGCCTGCACCTGTGAATTGCCACTGCACTCCAGCCTGAGCAACAGCAAAATGCCATTTCTTAAAAAAAATCTGTGTTCTAATATTTTCCATTCCTAGATAAAATGCTTTTTGCTATTTGTGAATTGTAGAAAAAGAGGAAATGGCAGGGAAGGTCAATTCATGTTCAAACAGATATGTATGACAAGCTGGTAGAATGAGGTAGTGAAGCTTTAAGAATCACATCTTCATCGGTTGTGCAAGTGCTTAGCCAAAGGATTTATTTCCTGGCTCCACTTGAAAGATGTTGAATATCTGTACAACCTCTCTCCATTTCACTTCTTTTCTTTCCACAATACTGACCAAGAGACCAGAAATTGACAGAAAAGGAAAGGTGGAATGAGAAATCCATAAAAGAATTAAAACAAAGTTAGAAGTTAATTACATTCACATTCCCCTACCGAAGAAGAATATTTAATCTGTTATATACAAACATACCTGCTCTTCTCCGTGACTCTTGTATGTATATGTGCATAAACTGAAGGCCAAATAATTCCCGTTCCTCTTCCTCATCTACGCTTTCACTGGGAGGGAGTGTCACTTCCAATTGCAGTGGGTTGTCTCTGAAGTTGACAAACCTACCAGTTCACCAGAAAACAGTATTTTTATAGGTGCAATAGAAGCGTACATTTATTCTTCTGGAGAAAGATCAAGTGATAACATACTAAATTACTCTTTTTTAACGGGTTTCAATAACTGAACATCTTGGTGTGGGATGTGATATATCTCAAGAATCTTTTAAGTTTCTTTCCTAGAAGGAAAAAATATTATTAATAGCTTTAGACAACTTAACTTTCGAAGCTTGTAAAAGTAACTACTAACCCACAGCATATATTTAATGTGATCCAGTTTAACTTTTAAGAGCAATTTTAATGCATCTTAAATATACAATTAATGCTATGAGCTTAGCTTCTGTTATTTTATAGACCTGCATGTTATTTATCATTTTGTCTTCACCATCTAGCACAAGGCAGATAGTTGCTGAATAAGTAAATGAATTAATGAATGATTTTGTTATGGAAGTTTAGTGTTTTGGTGTATATTCTCTATGTCAGGAAATTAAATTTTGACATAAAAACACTTTAGAGAGTTTCAATAATAATTAGCAAAAAGTTATACCTACTTCTATTGGTAACATTTGCTTGTGTCCATTTATAGTTATTTAGGAGGAAATAATGACTATTTTTATGCTTTTGATTTTCATATTATAAATGAGCTTTGTTAGCTATATAATTTTCATGAAAATATCACCAACAGAGGACATTTCTTAAAGCTGGTAAATCCTAATACCGCTTTTGTTTCAAAGATTCTTTCTTGAATACACAGACCAGTATTATTTGAATCCTATTCATCAAATTATAGAATGTCAACATTGGAAAAGATTTTTAAAATGTATCCATTCATATAAATAAGAACCCGAATTTATTAATAACAATCTCTATATTGCTTTGTTCTGTGGCCAGAAAGAAACATGTCAGTTTTGTATCTATAACTTTTTACCTCAGATTTGCCATTTCTTCCATGCAAACTGGGATATCTTGCAGTTTATTGTTGCTGAGAACAAGAGTACCCAGATTTTTCATTTTGCTGATTGTTTCTGGCAAGCAGGTTATTTCATTCCTTTGCAGCCATAATGTATGTAGACTTTTCATTCTGAAAAATTAGAAGAGGTTTCTGCAATTAATCACACACAATATGGTGTGATTATTATGTTAAAATAATAATATGAACCATAATATGGTTCTCATTGTGTTAAAAATCAAAGAAATGCATCTTTCACATCTCCTTTAACCAGTATGCTTATTGAGTTAACTGACTTCACATTATCTGATTATTAGGGAAACTATATCAGGGAGTTAATCTCTTATATAACTCTCATATCACGTGGTGGTAGAAATGAAATCAGTGTATTCTAGAATTCTTCACTATTCTCATAGGATTTCTTAAAGAAGAACTGCTGTAAATGTCATCTAATTTGAGTTGGTGTCTTAAGAGAGAAATCAAATGATTAATATGCCCATTTAGGGGAAGGCAACATGCATAATGGTTAACAGCATGGACTCTGGGGCCAGGCTGCCTAAGTTCAAATCCTAGCTTGGCCACTCCCTAACTATGGCCCTGGGCAAGAAGTTAGCTAACATCTCTGTGTGTTAGTTTCTTCACTCCTTTGTAAAGTGCATAGAAGTGCCTGGCATGTACTAATCAACGTTGTTATTGGGGCATATTCTTGTTATTTTCTTAAAGTCAGATAGCCACTTTTCCTCTCCCAAAACGCTTTTACTTATTTGGAATAAATGGAAATATTCTGTTAAAACATAGCATAGTTCAAACCAAATGGACTCATTGTGATTGATTATGCTTGGGATTCCCTTTGTCTTGTTTAGTTTGTTATTTCTTATTATTCATAAGTGGTTTCAAGACATTTGTTGGTAGCATAAGAAGTTATTTATTTTACCTTTCTATAGTATCAGGAAGTTGTTCAAGTCTGTTGCTTCCCATGTCTAGCCACTCAAGGGCAGGCATGTTCAACACAGCAGGAGGGATTGTAGTAAAATGGTTCATACTCAAATCAAGGTGAGTAAGTTTTAACAGATTGCCAAGCTGAAGAGGAAAGCAAGGTTTTTTCAAAATAAATGTCCACAATGTAAATTACAAGTAGACTCACTCACATTGGTAAAGGAGATATTTCACATCAAGGAATGTTTGCACTATACTTGGGCTGTAGTTCACAACAAATTAAAAATAAAAACATAGTCCTAGTTATTTGGGAGGTTGAAATGGAAGGATCCCTTGAGTGCAGGAGTTTGAGACTAGCCTGGGCAACATAGCAAGACCCTCATCTCAAAAGCAAACAAAAAACTAAATAACCTCCATAGAAGTGAAAGGCTCTCTCATGGAAAGTTCATCTATTTGAAGAAA